TAATATAATATATATTTCGATATATTAATATATATTATAGCTACGTCTGTGACGGGCTTTAATGTCCCCACTGCTGGGGTGAATGGAATAGGAAATATTAAGGCACTGATTTAAAGAAGCACTTATAAATAGCAGTTTTGGGAAGTTAAAAATTATAAATGGCACGTTTAATAACTAGTTCAGCAGTTAGAACTAAGCAGTAAAGTATGCAAAAATCAGTAATAAAAAATAGTGAAATGGATCGGTGAATTTATAATTGAACAGGAACATAATTAAATAGACGGTAAAAATTATTAAACCAGCGGTTACGTTTGGGCAGTTATAATTCGGAATTTGTCGGTAAGTAATCTCATTCTAAGCAATTCTATAAACAATGAGGTGATAAAAAAAACAGTACTTAAATAGTAATGAAAAATTAAATTACTTTTGCTTTGACTGAAGGAATTATTTTTAAAATTTACATTGTATGATAAAATAACCGACTAATTGATTTTTTATTACTGTCCATGTTTTACTGTCGCAATAATTAATCAACCGCCATTAAATTAAATAACTGCTCAATATGTTTTTCTACTGATCATAATAACAGCTCGAATATTTAAATAACAGCTCAAAAAATTAGTTCCCAAATATTAATATTATACATTCTTTTTAGGGTTCCGCACCCAAACGGTAAATAAATCGTATTATAAAGACTCCGCTGTAGGGACACGATATCGAATAGAAAGTATCGATACTGTACTCATGAGTAGTATCGTTAAAAAAGTATCGTACTCGTAAAGGTATCGAAACAAAAATATCGATACTTCAAAGTATCGAGTACATTTCATAGGGCCTTATCGGAGCCTCTGTGGCCTGATGAGCAAGATTATAATTATAGAAGAGGTTACGTCCGTCTTTTTTTCAGGTAGTTTCAAATAGGTATACACAGCACAGACAGAATAATAGTGTTACACTTGAAAAAATCAAATACAGTCAAGCGAAAAGTACAATAAACGGCGTATCAATCACAGTTCCTAACAATATGGTCGCTAAATAAATAACTATGAAACAAAACAAAGCGCATAATAAACACAGTCACAGATTGGAAAGAATTTGAATATGTCAGTTACTGACTTTATAGTTTATAACAACGCAATAGGGCATTTGACAGTATATTAAAAATAAAGTGCCAAAATAACGAAAAAGATATTAGTTTTCTTATCTATTGTCACGCAACCCAAAACGATTGGGATTGGCGGAGCCTAAAATGACGTCACACGCAAGTAAACTTCCGGTCAAATTGACATTACATTGTATCGTTTGACGTTTTAATAACAGTCGTGTGACGTCACACACTAGTAAGACGCCATATTGTCCAGAGAAACGATTTCGCGGCGACTTGAAAATGGAGTTTTTGATATGGTTATTTTTACTGAAATACACGACAGAATGATGAATATCCACTTTTTACGGACTCCATAAACATTAGTTAATAACGTGAGATCGTTGCCTTAAACTTGTCAAATACCCTATGGATCGTTTTAGAAGGTTTGCTATGATTTAACAAGATGGCGTTGCCATCAATATGAGGCGCTTATCCAAATTTTTAAAGTTATCGATACTTGCCAAAAAGTACTCATTTAGTAAAAGAATCGAATACAAAGTATCGAGTACAAAAGTATCGGTATCGAAAGGAAAAGTACTCGATACCACAAAGTATCAATACTCTTTTCGTGTCCCTACTCCGCTGTCCGTCGAGTAGCGGCGGCGGCGTTAGGTCGACCGCCCGAGCGCCATTCTCTTCAGTTGAACTTTGACTGATTTTTTCAGTAAACTAGAATTTTACTGACTATATTCAGACATTTATATTTATTTTACTGATTCATAAGTTGCGAGAATTCAACAAGAAAACTTATCTATAAATCGCGATAATTGAAAATAAATTAATGTTTTATTCATCTTTAAACGATTTTCCCGACTTCTCCAACCATAGGGTGCGGCCAGAGTGCACTCAGATTCAGATTCAGATTCAGATTTCGAAAACAAGCGCGAGAAATAAACAGTGTAGTCGAAGGGTGCGGCCAGAGTGCACTCAGATTCAGACTCAGATTCAGATTTCGAAAACAAGCGCGAGAAATAAACAGTGTAGTCTAAGCAGGTTGCTTGCTTTTTCTCGCGCTTTGTTTTCTGAGTCTGAATCTGAATCTGAATCAGGAGTGCAATCTGGCCGTACCCTTCGACTACACTGTTTATTTCTCGCGCTTGTTTTCAGAATCTGAATCTGACTCTGAATCTGAGTGCACTCTGGCCGCACCCGAAGGGTACGGCCAGATTGCACTCCTGATTCAGATTCAGATTCAGACTCAGAAAACAAAGCGGGAGAAAAAGCAGGCAACCTGCTTAGACTACACTGTTTATTTCTCGCGCTTGTTTTCAGAATCTGAATCTGAATCTGAGTGCACTCTGGCCGCACCCTTCGACTACACTGTTTATTTCTCGCGCTTGTTTTCAGAATCTGAATCTGAATCTGAGTGCACTCTGGCCGCACCCATAGATAAACTCAGTACATATCTATTTTTTATATTTTTGTTAAAAAGAGTTGGTTTCCACCTTAGATTAAAACAAAATGGGAGGATACGGCATTCGCGGCACAAAAGTGATCCGCTTAAATTGTGGTGCACGATCATAGTTCCACCCGTGACAATTCGCTGTAGTCACAATTGGACATTCAAACACGCTGTATGAACAATATTGCATAATATATTCTGTATTATAAAGATAAAACAATGCCTTCGATGGTTTTGTAAAAAACACAAATAGTTCAAAATCAAAATAACAAATGCCTCGGCAACACTTCTCATTCGTAAAACTGTAAAATCATTTTTTCTCAAAAATCACGGTTTGTCGTGAATGTTATTTACGTAATCGCCATTTTTACAACATTTACACAAGCCATTTACACAACAATACAGCTCAGCCTTCCGCACTCAGAAGCTGATTCGCCGTTTCACTCGCTCTGCTCATATTTGAAAACGCCTACTGACATGCCTGCCGCAGGGACAATTTAGGGTGTAAGAGTGGGGATGACCCTTAATTGCCTCCTGAATTGTGATGTGTGTAGGCAAGTTGGGGCAATTTTCTAAATCGGGCCTGCGGCAGGGCCGGCAGGAGCGCGCGACCACCCTTGCTTTCTAGAGTGTCCCAACAGCACGTTGCCGCGTGTGTAGCGCGATTGGGGCAATTTCTCAATCAGTCGGTTAGTACTTAGTAGCTGTCACACGCAGCGCACGTATTTTGATCAAGATTGCGGCAAACACAGACCAATAAGAGAACAAGTTCGGCAAATCATAATGAGCATGAAGTTTGGACACGTGTGATCGAAGTATGTAAAGCCGGCCACATGTGGCATAAAAAAATCAAACATTATTTATATATTTTGACGTGACAACGTCTTAAATTAGGTTGCGGCTGGGAGTCACTTATGAAAAAGTGTAACGCTCGGTAACGTTACGATGAGTCTCTCGTGTTAAGTTTAAGTTTACATGTACAATGTTTTAGTAAACAAAATATATTTCTATAGTTAAAATTTGTGCAATTCTTATTTTCATTCAATTCCTTGTTCCTATTGTGCAATTTAATTATATTCATATCAATAAATATTCTACCGAGAAAAAGACGTTGTCACGTAAAATCTTCGCCCGTAAAACCGACTTTTTTTTATATTAAATTTAAATTTTTAAGTATGTGACTGGTAGTACTTTTTTTATTTTTTCTTGTAATTTTTTCTTTAGATTCATATATTGAGCAGTTACATGCTTAAATAATTAAAATTATGACTTTAATTGCTATTTCTTCTTTTAAATGTTTAATACATGTATAGGTATTCATTTAACATTGTAAGTTACATATAATGCGAAGAGATGGCGCTGCCTTGCAGCTTAAGAAAGGCTAGAAAGAATTTGATACAGCCGTCAGGGCCGCGGTAGCATAATTTATCAGTGCATTCGCCCGGATAGCGAAGGGTGCGGGTTCGAGTCCTGTCTGCTGCCAGGTCCGCATGGATTTTTTTCTAATAACATAAACATTACTTATTTACAATACATTTCTTTCTGTTGCCAATTCTTCACCCAGTATTTCCTTTTTTACGGTAACATATTTTTTGATAACACTGGGACCATCATCAACGCGTGTGTTTAGCTCAACATACGCCCGAACACTGAATAGCAGGCATGTGTGTAGAGACAAGCCGAAATTGGCCCGACCACGTGCACCCTAGATTGTCCATGCGGCAGGCATGTCATGTCATGTAGGCGCTTTTAATCGCAACCGTGCAGTCTTTCCATGCAGCCGTTTCTTTGTAGTCGCCCCAAATACATCGCTGATTTAATTATGAGAAAGACTTCCTGTGGATTGCTATCAGGAGGTTTTGACCCCTTCTGGAGATGGCTGAATAATCTCCGTCCTATTTATATAACAAGCGATTGAAAAAGACAACGGCAACCGTCGACTAAATCCGACCTACCGGACATTTGGAGCTTTTGGGAAGCTGGATGTGTGAACCCTAGCTTAGCTACCTGTAGTACGGACCCCTTAAGGCCAGTGTTCTTCTTTCCCCTCTCTACCTGCCGAGACGTGATGGCCATAGAAAATTGATTCAGCAATAAGGGATTTATTTTTCTAAAAAGACTAGGTACATTTACTTTCCAATTCCTAGCTTGTGTACTTGCGTCCTGGGGCACTAAAGCCCCGAGCTTAACTGGCCGCACCGGATTCATTCGATTTAAAGAAGGAAAAGGTTACACTGTTGGCAACTTTAATTTTAGGTTTAGAGAATCATGCCAGAAGCGACACCTATGTCTAGGTACTTATAAAAATTAAGAGGTACCATGTATAGGTTTATCTTAGCTTTATTTTTTTATAATCGTATCAGAATCGGGCTCACGTCACGGCCCATAGTACTCATCTCTCTTGCCTGTGAAGCACTCATTGACATGACATTGACAGACAATGACAACCTGCAAACGTGCAAACCTATAATTATTCAGTCAGAGCTGCAAACAGCTGTTTTGTTCAATTCTGTTATAAGTTAAGAAGTTTCTTTAAAAATGAATGAAATCGAGTATAAATTGAAGACAAACAGTAGTATCTTAATAGTCAACGCTATTGATAAGTTGATATCAGCGATAAAATCAAAATTTAAAATCGGCGAACGTCAGCGGTTTGTGTTAGAAAACGAAGAGTTGAAGTTTTTGAGGGAGAAATGTTCAGCCAAGGAGACAGTAGTGAGCCTGACTGCTTGTCAGGGCCTACTCGCGTTGGTGGAGCTGGGTGTACTGGAAATCGCTCACACTATGTCTACCATAGTAACCTTACTGCCTAGTGCACAGTGAGTTGCTTTCTATATTGTTTTTAGGTGTAAATCTAAATTAAACGAAAACAAAATTAATGTACCAATGGTAAAGTTTTGTATGAGCAACTGCCCTGGCAATGTATAAATACTGTACATTGTAATATTTAATGGTAAATGGCTGAATATTTATAACTTCTATGAAAAAATGCTCAGGAACCTTTGATAAAGTCACAATCTTGAAAATTATGAGAACTCCTACTATGTCATTACCTTATTACAGTTGATAAAAGATGTTGCCAATTTTATTTAAGGAGTCATGAATTTCGCATTTTCTTAGAATTTTCTTCTCATTTTCTGATTAACTCTTCACAAAAAGTTTTTTTAAAGCTAAAAATATAAATAAATACAAATAATTCGTTATCGTCAGCCTGACAGAAAATCTGTGAAGTTTTATTTTGTGCATTTGCAAATATGAAAGGATTAATTGTCATACAGCCTTGTCTCAAGCCTGATCAGAATAATAAAATCTATTATTTTAGGCCTTCTGTGATTTGTTATAATAAAAATTAGGGCCAAATATGATAGATAAGATGCACTGATTTATTATTTATTGATATTCCTCATCCTTTTCAGGATGCATCGTCTGAATTATGATTATAAATATTTTAAATATAATCATAATTCAGAACATTCATACTGCAAATGATGCAAAACGTCAATATATAAATAAATAAATCAGTGCCTCATTACCTTTGAAACTTGTTTTATTTACCTGGAACATTGTAATTTTATTGTTTTAAAAAGGTAGAAATATAGGAGTTACATTATCATATCAAATGTAATTTGCTTCCTTTTATGCACACAAAAAATATTAAGAATCATAAGATTCATAATTTTCAGTAATTACTCAGCTATTATTTCCACAATGGCTGGCCTTCTTATTTTGGATCTGAGGTCAAGACTTGTACCTGGACAACCTTACAAGTGCCAGTTTACACTGAAATCACCTCAGCATCCTTTCATCACTGTACTGGAGAAGAATAAGGAAGCAGAAGATGACGTGCTGGCTCAGATGCATGCACTATGTAATCATCCTGATTATATGTAAGTTTTTTAGTTATTCATCATATTCCTCGCCATCATCAGCTTATTAATGTCCTCACTGCTGAGGCACAGGCCTTCCCTATGGATGGAATAGAGAGATTGGGCCATGACCCACCATGCCGACTTAGTGCTGATTGGTGGGTGCTAACAATGGCAGATGCTGACCAACCGCTTAAAGCGCCTTCCAAAGCTTGGAGGAGCTCGAATTAGTAAATTTATGGTTACCCATCCAATGACTGACATCTGTGAAAGTTGCTTAACTTCAATGATCTCATCTCACAACTGAAAGTGCTCATTAAGCTCCTTTTTAGTTATTACAAAGTAAGTATAATCGAACTAGCAAAACCAACAGTCCTGTCGTTGTCTTGCCGAGTAAAGTAAAAACCAGGTATCTGAACTAAACTGCTGTTGTGCATCTAATTCATCCACATAAAAATTTTCATCAAAATCATTTTACTGTTTCGGACAAGTTCTGTTACATAAAGACAGATGAAATATATATTTTACAGATGTAAGGCTGGGTGTTGTATTTGGCAGACACTGGTTGAGGAAGTTGATTGTAGCTATAAATCACAGATTGCTATACTATTATAGATTGTGACCAACAATCTATGCATCCACAGTGTGTTTTATAAGTTTTTTTTTATATGATTGGAAAAATAAATTTTTTTTACTCCATACTCTGTGTAAACCACTGCCAATGAAATATTAAACAAAATCTACAAATTCTCTTAACAATATATTCAACCAGTATAGTAATAATAAAATTCAATTTATTTCAGAGTGAGTTCGAATAGTTTGGAGCTCTTGCGGTCTGTATTCTTGTGGCTGACCTGTAATCCTCGACAAGTGGCAACAAGTGCTTCGAACCTGAGGCCCTGGCAGTTATTGCTGAGTCTGCCCCAGTCCACTGCCCAGTCGTCACTCCTGTTGTCTTGCTTGAGTTATCAACAGGTGAAATATTGGATATATTTTTAAATTATTAACATTTTTATTTTAAATCTAAAGGAAATATAACTAGAAAAAATGGCAGCAGGCGGGACTGCCTGCTCCGCGTGGAATATTTTCTAGTTACAGTTTCTTTAGATTTAAACATCAAGCAGTAACATGCTTAAAAAATTAAAATTATAATTATTATTTTAGTTTCCCCCCCATAAATGTAAGAAAATAAAACGTAGCAGCTGCTAGTTTTTCATAGCAACTTCGCAAAGTCAGGGTTAGTTTTAAATCCACTTTTGTTCCATTCTTGTTTTTCTGCCTGATAAATGAATAGGGTGAATCCATTTGTTGTTTTTTATTTACTATTTTTTTAAATAGCTTGATAATATAAATGTCATGTTTGTCTTACAAATTAATTAAATGCTTTTGATTTCTTCTTTTGTTTTTTCGACAAAAGCTTGTTTCTTTTCCTAAGATCTCCTTTCTCCCTATACAAAAAAATCATCAAAAGCGGTTCGCCAGTTTTGCCATGAAACTGTCACAAACAAGTGTAAAAAAGTAACAAATTACTTTCACAATTCACATGAAAAAAGTATGGATTAATTAATAAATTGTTATTATAATGTACAAAATTGTCATTACATATTCATTTGTCTGGGTAAACCTTAGTTTTTTGAGAATGCAACAGGAACCTTTAATTTTTCCGCGATAAAAATCCTATAACCTATGTCTCAATCCAGGTCATAAACCATATGCGTACCCAGTGGTTATTGCGTGATTGAGTAACAAGCATACATCATCACCACCATCAGCCTATTTATGTCCCCAATGCTGGGGCACAGGCCTTCCCTATGTATGGAATAGGGAGATTGGGCCATGACCCACCATGGTGCTGACGACTGTAGATGCAACCGGGACCAACGGCTTAACGTGCCTTCCGAAGCACGGAGGAGCTCGAGATAGTAAATTTTTGGTCACCCATCCTATGACCGAACACTGTCAAAGTTGCTTAACTTCAACGATCGCAGCAGAACGCGCTAACCAGATGCGCCATCGAGCTCCTCCATCGAGCATACAAATTTTCACATTTATGACATTGGTACGGTAACTTTTATGTAGTCGTAGTATTAAATCTGGTCATTCTCAGAAACATAAGCAGTGGTTTTGTTTGTTCTTCAAAAGTTCTGCAACCCCAAACTGACTGAGCGGGCGTTCGCTGCGTACTCGGCAGTGACTGACGCCGCCATCTACCGGCAGGACAGGGAGTATGTTACTGCCCTATTGCCCATATTAGCCAGGATCTCCAATGAGCTCGTTCGACATGGGTGAGTATAAAGTGAAATCTAATTTAGTTTTGGCATTTCTGTACCCTGAGAGCAAAGTTATACGTAATATTAAATAGTAGCTGTGCCCCGCGGTGTTACCTGCGTTTTATTAGGGATATTTTCTCGCAGTAAAACGTAGCCTATGTGTTAATCAAGGGTGTCAGCTAACTCCACGCCAAATTTTATTAAAATCGCCCCAGCCGTTAAGACATGCATGCCAAGCCGCTTCCTTTAAACTTAAATATAATGTTAACTATAAAAGTTATTGCAACTATACATCTTATATTATACTACTGTACTATATTATTATAAATGATATAATAGAAGGTGAATTCAGAAGTATATCTTAATTTTTTTTGAACTTGCGACTCTTCCAAACTCAAACTGAAACTCATTTATTCAGTCTAGGCTGTTACAAGCTCTTGTAAAAGTCAAACGCTACGCCATCGGTTCGTAAATCTACGAAGGGAGACAGTGTACTGAGAAGAACCGGCAAGAAACTCAGCAAGGGCTTTTCTTTTCTCAGCAATCGGCTGTTTTTTTTTCTCCCTTTCCCTTTATATCATAAAACAGGGAGAAAAAAAAACAGCCGATTGCTTAGATTCTTGCCGGTTCTTCTCAGTACAAGGCCATAGACTTACGAACCGATGGCGCGTAGCTTCTCGACCTACACAATTGCTTGTAACAGCCTAGACTGAATAATATTTTTTTGAGTTTGTGATAGGTAATTATGTATTTTTGTATATGATTCCTCTTCAGCCGTGACCCGCGCTCGTGCTACAGTTTGCTAGAGCGCTGCCTAGCACTGGACGCCACTGAAATCCGCCACGCGACTGGAATCACGCTAGCGTTGCTAGCTGACAACTTGCAGCATACTTCAGCGCTGTATTTACACGAGCTTTTTAACTTAGGTGAGGCTTACAGGCCTAATTATATTTTTATTGTAGTAATTAAACTTCTTACTTTTTAAATCTTAAGAAAACTACTAGAAAAATAGAGCGAATAGGCTTAAACTTCTGTAAATATCAGCATAACAAGAACTTTCTTAACAATCTCAAGAATTATATAAATACGTGCTTTTACTGATCCTTCAAGCCGGATTTGTACCAGTGACCTATAAATTAAGTTTGTTCGGGATCATAATGTACAAGAAATTTTAAGTATAATTTACAGTGTATTGGTATTTGGTACACAACAATACTTGTACTAAGTTTTCGTAGTAAATGACTAGAGAGAGATGAGAATATTTAAACTAAATACTTAACTATTCTAAAACTAGCAAAGCAGTGAACCAAATGTTCACCAAAACCTGATTTCTCGAAAACCGGAAGTGCTACGTTACTCAAATCCGGTTTGTAGTCTTATCAGACTATTCTTAACTCATAACTTAAATATTCTCTTTATCTATCTCTTACGGTTTGGCCGCGGAAACAGCACCACAGACAGACGGACTTGTCTAATAGATAAGAGACTAGCAAACCAGTGAACCAAATGTTCACCAAAACTTGATTTAAAAAAAAAATGTATTTAATTAATTGAGAACTTCGGAGATTTTGTGTGGTTTCGTTTGAAATTCGTGATTTCTCGAAAACCGGCAGTGCTACGTTACTCAAATCCGGTTTGTAGTCTTATCAGACTATTCTTAACTTATAACTTAAATATTCTCTTTATCTATCTCTTACGGTTTGGCCGCTGAAACAGCACCACAGACAGACGGACTTGTCTAATAGATAAGAGACTAGCAAACCAGTGAACCAAATGTTCACCAAAACTTGATTTAAAAAAAAATGTATTTAATTAATTGACAACTTCGGAGATTTTGTGTGGTTTCGTTTGAAATTCGTGATTTCTCGAAAACCGGAAGTGCTACGTTACTCAAATCCGGTTTGTAGTCTTATCAGACTATTCTTAACTTATAACTTAAATATTCTCTTTATCTATCTCTTACGGTTTGGCCGCTGAAACAGCACCACATACAGACGGACGGACGGACGGACTTGTGTAATAGATAAGAGATAATATTAAATAGAAATAATTTTTTTTCTTCTGTGATCATGTGACGAAAAAGATATGTGATTGGCGAAGACTTACATGACGACACACGCGAGTAGACTTCCAGTCAAAGTGACATTACATTGTACCGTTTGACGTTTTAACAACAGTGGTGTGACGTCACATACCTGTCGGACGCCATAATGTCGAGATAAACGTTTTCGCGACCACTTGAAAAATGATTTTGATTTAGTTTTTTTATTGAAATACACAACGGAATGATGAATATCCACTTTTTATGGACCCATAAACATAAGTAAATAACGTGAGATCGTATTAACTAAATCTTGTCAAATATCTTAATATCGTAAAATGTAGATTCGACACGATTAAAAATGCAATACTGCAAATATGAAATACAAATTAATGTCTCATCTGGTCATAATATTTTCTTCATAATTTATACAACGCACCTTAATTACTTTCAGCTTTAAACATCATAAGCAAATACGAGAATACGAAGACTTCTCTAAACTCCTTTGTGGCTTTGTCTCTCCAATGGCTTCACATGCCTTCGTATTTAACCACGTCAGCTCTGAAAGTAGCTTCAAAGATCGTAGACATTTATCAAACTGCAACCAAAGACGACGCAAGTTTCCACACGCCCAATTTAAAAGCCAACAAGATCTTTGAAACGCTTCTTTACACCGACAGGCGATTGTTCGTCGAATTCAAATTGCTAGAGAATTGGGAGCGGGTAAGAGATAACCCGGACAAATTGAAGAGTTGGTTGGATACCATCGGATCACTCGACGACTATGTGAAGTTGGATTTGGTGCCGTTTCTAATTGGCGTCGCTATGGAGAAACGCTCTGAAGATTGGTATGAAGATGTGGTGATTAGAGCTTTGGAAATGGTGGTAGCAGTTGTGGATGCGAAGAAAGAGTTGTCTGTTATGCTGATGCCTGTTTTGTTGTACAAGATTGCGAATGATTCGTCGTCCAACGTACGGATGCACTGTTTGAGGGCGCTGCCTTTAATGGCTAAAACCAAGGTGAGATTACAATCTTAAGAATTTACTCGGTTCAGGCATCAAACAGGATTCGAATCTGTCCCTGCCGCTACATAAATATGCTACCGATACCTTAATGGTCATGCCGAAATGCTTCTAGTATTTCGGACATTCGGAGACGGGTTCCGCGACCACACCCGCCCTCTCGGCACGCACTAGGGGGACCGCGGTCCTCATAGTGCGTGTCGGGTGACGGTGCAGGAGTATTGTCTGGTTTTTAGTGGCCCTGTTCAGGGCGTAGGTAGGGCCCTGTTCACATCAGCGAGCTCCAGGGCTGGCTGAAGAGGACAGGGAGGAGTCCCACATACCTTCTTCTCGCTCCTCCAGTGGTTGAAGGATGCGTAAGGCATTTTCCAGATACAAAAAAAATGCTGCAAGGCAGCACTATATCTTCAACATTGTAGAGAATGAGAGTAAGAGATATTGTATTTGTTTTGTTTTCTAGGAAAATGTCCCAGCCATTGTGGCAATATTAAACAAGTTGAAAGCTGGCAAGGGTGTTCCGGTTTCGTTCCTCATCATGCTGTATACTTCTCTTGCTGAGACTCAGGTAACATTACCATCATATAATAAAGTATCGTAATTATGCTAAATATCAGGACACATTTGACTGTCATTGTCAAATGTGTCCTGTACTCTTCGCAAGAATCAATATCGAATTCATAACGTTTGCGAGTCCGAAATGTCATTGTCAAATGTGTGCTAATTTTTAGTTCTCTTTACGTACTTTGTGGCGCTAGGCTTGTTGAAAATATATCGATGTATCGATATATCGATATTTTTTGTTCGATATATCGATATTTTTTGCCGATATATTTTGATTCGATATATCGATACATCGATACAAAATAACCAATATCGAAATTCGTATCAGAAACGATATTTTTTTAATTATTAGCTCACAATCTAACTAAATTCGTTTCTGGAAAAATCGTAACTGGATATCAGATTAATGATATTCAACATATCTATGATCTGTGCTGTATTTAGTATTGTCTATTATTTGTAAATCTGTTTCGCTGGTGAATTGGTTGTGCTGATTTCCATAATATATTCTGTGGAAGTGTGTAAATCTCTAGTCTTGTTTACGAAAGATGGCACCTGAGAGGCCCTGTAATCATTTTCATCATTCGAAAATAGGGTATATTTTTAGGGAGATAATTTTCGTTCCATTATTATACCGCGTGTCATAAATATATTTTTGAAAAATTGGTCCGATATATCGATATATCGATGTTTTTTTCGCGATATATCGAAGCCGATATTGATATTTTTTAAAATATCGATATATCGATATTTTTTTCAACTTTCGACATCCCTATGTAGCGCTGCTGTTCAAGTTTCCATACCAAATTTGACAATGACGTTTCGCACTCGCATACTATTCGAATTCGATAATGGTTCGTACTAGGGGGTTCTGAGTACTTATTGATTTTTGTAGGTGCGATGTTTCCCATATTTACAAGAAGTGTTGGTGGAGTCTTGCGGTCGGCCAGATGAACCCAAATGGGAATTGGACGTAGCTCGGGCTTTTGCTATCGTTCGTGTATGTGAAGTAAGGTATTTAGAACGTTGTTTTACTATAATCGTCACTATTATTGTCCTACTGATATTGGAAATGTGAAAGTTTGTATGTTTGATGTTACTCGACCACGCAAAAATTCCTAAATGAATTCGCATGACATTTCGCACGCTTATATTTTGTTACCAAGATTGTAGATAAAAAACGAGTGTGCTTATGAGCAAACGACTGAAGTGAAACTTCTTTAGCTCCATCTGTATGTATATATATACAACTACAATATATACATGTACAATATATACATGTATGTACATATACATATTTCATTTACTAGCTATAAGAGAAAGAAAGAAAGAAAGTGTGCGCGCGCACTGCTTTCTCTTGCTTATATCCTCCCGTTCGCCTCGCCTTAACACACTTTTCGTAACGCAAGTAAGTCAAGCGTGCGTAAAGAAGTTTCACTTCAATAATTTTTTATCGCAATAAAATGAACCCTATGTAGCTCATTGATTATAATGGTTAAAGATTTTTTTTAAAATTGGTCCAATTATTTTTGATCTTAATTATTAAAAATCATTAATATGATGACTTCCGTGGCCGAGTGTGTGTATGCCGGTTTTCATGGTGTCGCCGACTCGAGAGGTCACGGGTTCAAATCCCGGTGGGGGCAGATGTTTATGTGATAAATAAGATAAATTCATTCTAATATTGAAAGACTTTTTTAAATTAAGCCAGTAGATTTCGAATTTAGTTTGCAGCAAACATATACAGGGTGTAAAAAAACCTTTAACGAAGCCGAAGGCCACGTATTTTCCACATCATGACGATCATTTTTTTCTTCTGGACCATACCTGGGAAATTTATAGTTAGGGAGATATTGGAGGTCAAAGTCACAATTTTTTTTTCAAGAATTTTACATTAATATTTTCTAAACGTTATTTAGAAACTTTTTTCCTGAGGAACATAATTTTTTTTTTTAGTATTTCTTCCATAATAAGGCTTTTGTCTTTACAACGAGAAATGTACAGCAACGCATGCACACGCACCGACGCGCTGTGCCCCGCGCCCGCGCCCCGCGCCCGCGCTCGTATCAGCTGCCACGTAGGTCAACAACCGAACGTGCCTAGTCAACACCGGGGTTTAATCCAACCACTTATTAAAACGAAATGCGTAAATTAGTCATTTACCCCTTATTAGGTTTGCTTAAAAAACATTTAATTAAAATGAAAGTTACACTAGCCATATTTTTTTTTAAACTCAAGTAGATTCCCAAATTTTTTATTGTTTATGTAACAAACTAAACCATGCTTCTGGCTTTTATTTTCCATAACGGTTAACATTGCCATAATCATCAAAAAAAAATGTTAATAATAACAGGAAGGTTTTTTTTACACGAGGCGCAACGAATTACCACACCCCACCTGATGTTCAGTGTAAGTGGAGTCCAATCGCGAAGAAAGATGATGCGGCAGAAAGTGTTCGCTCTAGCCATCCTCACCTTGCCGGCCTGAACGCAATCCTCTACCCCGCAAAGCCCTGGAACCTTACTCACCAACAGAAATACAACACCACCAAAAGGTGGAGATTGCTTCACCAGACGGGCGCTCCATTTCAAACGGAAAATCCGCTGTGCCCTACCTCTCTTAAAATACCTTACCTACGGAGGAATGAGCTATGTTTCATTAAAAAGTTAAAGTACCATCTAAACAGGTGACACAATGATATTTTAAAACAGGCTCGTCATTCCTTACATTCCGTCCTCTCTACCGCAAAAAAAATTTAACGTCTTTTCGATAGTAATTAAAATGAATCTAAGATACTTACCAAATCTAAAACGCCTTACAATTTAACACTAGCAATGTTGATTGTTTAGTGTTAATTTTTGCACTTTCGCTTAGGATTTTTTTTTCGTGGACGTCAGGACATACTGACGTCCAATACAATTGTAAACTCGATTGATTCCAGTAAATAAACAAAGTTCCATATCTTTTAGCAATCAATTACTTAATTAGATTCTGCCGTTTTTTTTCTAGCTCTGTAAGTTCTTTCCGGTTGACTGGTAGAGAATGCCATATTGGCATTAAGTCCGCCATTTGCAGTGTAAAGGCAATACAGATTAAATAAATAAATAAATTACAGCCATTATTCATACTTTACTTGGATTTTAAATAAAAGTAACTTTATTATCCCATAAACGTGTTAAGTATTGTTGTTTTTAACGATTGTACCAATTCGAATTATTTTGGAAGCTTGCTATGAATCGATACTTACAAGAACATTAATCGTTTTTAATTCGGAAGGATCCGTAGTCAACGAAGATTAAACGAATGAATGTTTCCTCCCGGTTTTACATTCCCATTTTTTTATAGTACCTACCTGTACTAAATTAAATTCTAGTTTTGTAATGTTTTAAAAAATACGTAAATTATTTATGGAAAATGATAAAAAACGCTACCGATGCGTAACACAATGTCCGTTATGTAGGTAATTATCTACGTATTATCTAATTGTTAATTGGTCAGTAGGTATAACCTAGGCAATGCAACGCCGGCCGGCCGGCGCGGCGGCGTCGGCGGTGAACTGAAAGAAGAAGATGGCACTATCGTCTCTTTTTATCTCTACCGAGCCCGCGCCCGCGCCGCTCTCCAGTTCGGTTTCTTAGGTCATCGAATGCGCTTTTCAAATTGCAAATTTGCGATTTTTATTGTTATCTCGTGCGATTTCAATTAAGTGATAATTTGTGAACGTGAAAGTGTGTGTGTGTGTGTTAGAAGATGCCTAACCAAACGTATACTGCTCGTGAGTACGTAAACATGGTTCTCTGTTACGGGAGAGCACGTGGAAACTCTTCCGAAGCTCTGCGGCTGTATCGGGCTGAATATCCCACGGCGAATCACCCGGGTGATGCACGTATTTTTGTTCGGGCTGTACAACGTTTGCTGGACAATCAGCCGATAGTGCCAGTTTCGGAGGGCGGGCGCGGGCAAATACGACCTGCGGCGGAACAAGCCATTTTAGACGTAATGAGGGAAAACCCACGTTTAGGCGTTCGAACGGCAGCTAGACTTTTGCGTAGAAGGCATGGCCATCGCGGTCGACATGTAGTGTCCCATACCACCGTGCATAAAGTCTTAAGAAGGGACAGGCAGAGGCCGTATAAAATCCACCGCGTGCAAGCACTGGTACCAGGCGACGCCCAGCGCCGCATGGCTTATTGTCAGTGGCTGTTGAGACAAGATCGAGGTTTTGTTCGACACATCATTTTCACTGATGAAAGCACATTCACTAATAATGGCATGTGGAACCGTCGAAATGCTCATTACTGGTCTGCAGAAAATCCCAACCAGACTCAAGAAACGGGCTTCCAGGCGCGGTGGAAACACAACGTATGGGCAGGCATTGTGGGGAACCGGATCCTCGGTCCCGTTTTTTTGCCGCCTAGAGTGGACGGGGCCGCCTATTTAAATTTAATTGACACCGATTTGTCGGAGGCCTTAGACGACATGCCGCTGGCCGAGTTGCGGGAGACTTGGTACCAGCACGACGGTGCACCGCCTCACATCGTAAGACCAGTTCGGCAGCGGCTGACGGAGCTGTTCGGAGACCACTGGATCGGCAGAAATGGGCCGCACGCGTGGCCAGCGCGTTCGCCTGATTTGACGCCTTTGGATTTTTTCCTGTGGGGTTTCGTCAAAGACCGTGTTTTTGACCGCCCCTGTCAGACTAGTGATCAAATGCGTCAAAAAATTATTGACGTATTTGAAGAACTGAAATATCGGTCTGTACGGGAAGGAATACTGGAGCGCGTCCATCAAAATACGCTGTACCGGGCACGCGTTTGCTTACATGTGGAAGGTCGCCAGTTCGAGCCACAACTTATCCGGTTCGAGCGGCCGATTCCAGACGAGGTCGAGTAGTCGGTAAGTAGTAAAAGTACTTACGTAGCTCTAAATCTAAACAAATTCCATAAGGGCTGTTTTTAAATGTAGGAACTTTGGAAGTAAATAATCAAGTAATTTTGTGTACATAATACTCCCGCTAGGTAGTGGAGAAGCGCGTTCTATCGACGCACTTACACACACGCACACACTTACACACAGGCACATTATTTGCGTAGCGCCACAGTAGCGCGGCGCGCTATACATTGCGTACTGGAAAAAAAAATATATTTTTAACTTAAAAATAAAAATGATTTCCCACGTATAATATTTTGTAATATTACTTGTTTGGGTGTACAGAATGCGTAGTTTTAGTTTTTGTCATTGGTTCTTTTACACCCTGTATACATACAAATCTGCCCTATTTATAATATAAACAGATATTTGTATAGATTCTGTTGTAACCCCAATCAGAGCCAGTACTCACGGTTTAGAGCTAGTCTCCAGTATATCGTCCATACTGAACCGTTGTACGGACAAGCCTGGCAGCTCAGCCAAGGTGCTCTTCCTACTGGCGTTACGCCATTTGTGGCATATATTGCCACACTTAACGCAATAAAATTTAAAGACTTTTTTAAATTAAACCAGTATTTTTAGAATTTAGTTTGCAACAAACATATAAAGATACAAATCTGCCCTCTTTATAATATAAATAGATATTTGTATAGATTCTCTTGTAACCCCAATCAGAGCCAGTACTCACGGTTTAGAGCTAGTCTCCAGTATATCGTCCATACTGAACCGTTGTACGGACAAGCCTGGCAGCTCAGCCAAGAGGTTATTTATAGATAATAAAGCATTCTAATATTAAAAGACTTTTTTAAATTAAGCCAGTTGATTTAGAATTTAGTTTGCAACAAACATATAAAGATACAAATCTGCCGCCTTTATAATATAAACAGATATTTGTGTAGATTCTGTTGTATCCACAATCAGGGCCAGTACTCACGGTTTAGAGCTAGTCTCCAGTATATCGTCCATACTGAACCGTTGTATGGACAAGCCTGGCAGCACAGCCAAGAGGCTATTTATAGATAATGAAGCATTCTAATATTGAAAGACTTTTTTAAATTAAGCCAGTAGATTTCGAATTTAGTTTGAAACAAACATATAAACATACAAATCTGCCCTATTTATAATATAAACAGATATTTGTATAGATTCTCTTGTAACCGCAATCAGAGCCAGTACTCACGGTTTAGAGATAGACTCCAGTAAATCGTCTACACTGGACCCGTTGTACGGACAAACCTGGCAGCTCAGCCAAGGTGCTCTTTGAGTTTGAGTTTGAGATGCCGTAGCTTCTAGACATTATGAGTGCTTGTAACACCCTAAACTGAATAAATGATTTTGATTATGATAATGTAGCAGTCTTTTGTTGAAAGACTTTTTTTAAATTAAGCCAGTAGTTTTCGAATTTAGTTTTCATCAAAAATATAAAGATAAAAATTTGTCGTCTTTATAAAATAAGTTGAGATTATTTGCAATTTCCAAACAGGGCCAGTACTCACGGCTTAGAGCTAGTCTCCAGTATATCTTCCATACTGAACCGTTGTACGGACAAGCCTGGCAGCTCAGCGACGGGACTGTGCCTACTGGCGTTACGCCATTTGTGGCGTGCATCCGCTGTGGCGCCTCCTGGGACGTGGCGTGCCCTACAACCGAGACTGGCCAGAGATAATAGACCGCATGTGAAGATCAGGTAAGATCATCTAAACATATAATGAAACGGTAGGAAAGTCAAAACTGTACATTGAATATTTTTTTTTAAAGAATACTTGGGGTGTGATCTACAAGCGATACCGAAGCCAAAAATAGTTTTTAGAATTTTTGTCTGTATGTATGTCCGGGATAAACTCAAAAATTACTGCATGGATTTACTTCAAAGGCACGAATATTATTAAGAAGTCGGATCAACATATAGGCTACATATTATCACGCTATCACCTACGGGGAACGAGCAGTGAACCTTTATTTCTAACTAACTCCACGCGTAAGAGGCCGCGGGCGTCCGCTAGTAGATGATAATTTTCTTCCTTTTTAATTTTAACTGTCTTTATTATTTTACTTTGTTAATTATATTGGAGAAAGTTTCTTCTGGTCCTCAGGGCAACCTTTTACAAAAGGCAGAAAATCATGCTGCCTGGACCTTATAAGACTTGCGTTTTTCTTCTCCCTTTTTTTGGTCCAACACTTACTAAAAACATGATAATAAAAAAAATCTAATGGAACTGATATAATAATATGTAGGTGGACTACCTACTTACTATAACGTAATAATGAATTTCATCTTCTTTCGGGTTCTTGCCGTAAGTCCTGCAATGAGTTTGAATCCCAATAGAGCATTTAATTGTGTGATGAGTATGAAAATGAATGCTCAAGTTATTGTTTTTTATAATTATTATGTATTATATACTTTATTAAGTTGCAATAATACAAGGTCTGCTTAGTTTTTAAACTGAATAATTGTCAGTTATCCAGAATTTATTATTATTAATGGCCACTAAATAACCAAACCCGGCGGACGTTTTCCTACCTCGATAAAAGTATGAAAAATCCTTCAAAATCGACTGTAGCGCCATCTCTCCGATAGAGTTGTAGGTTCGCAAAATCTTTCGAATTTTCTGGGTATAATTCTTAATTTTACTTCTGTAAAAACTTTCTACAAAGTATTAGAAGACTTATGAATAAGATGAATGTAATCGTTTAAGACGTTCTCAAGTTATAGCGTGACTAGGAGAAATATAAGTTCCTTTTTATATAAATAGTTATTTCTTGTATTCAAATAGTTTTTTCTTCAACCCAGCATATGCAAACTTCTATCTGAAGTGCCGGCCTTACGCGTATCAACGCCCGAATACGATAAACTGATATCAGATGCGGCTAACCATCTCTGGGGTTACGTTGCCACCTCGAATGAGCCTGAAGTTGTCGAGGCAGCCTGCGAGGCTTTAGCTAACTTCAAGGTGGATGATTACAAACTGAAGGATATACCAGATGTGTACAGGAAGACGGTCAAATTGCCAGCGGCGTATTGTAAGACCCCCGCCGATGCTGCGAGGAAACCGGAAGACGTACTCGAATACGTACCTTGTGAGTGTGTTAATAAAGAATATTTTTCATTGACAATCAACCAAATGTTTGATTGTCAGAGAAATTGTTATTGAAAACCTTTTTATAACCCATACTATTTTTAATTTGACAAACGGATGGACTTAGTCTCGTGATGGGAAATATCGGATCTTCATGTAAAACTTTCGCTGTAGGTTTCACTGCCTTGAATTACAAAAGAGAGGCCATCTCCTTCTAAAGGGTTCAGTCTATATATCCTTATTAAAATACCACAAAAGTGCTTCTGCGGCTTAGGCGTAAAATAGATAATAACTTTTGTTGTATTTATATTACTTGAACCCTTTTTTATACAATTATCATATTATTTAACCAAGCAAATGACCGATGTGATGATAGCATTGTAGATGCTTGCGATACCAAAGAATATCTCGCGCCGTTATCTAGCCTCATCCCATCCCCTATCTCGTGGACCATGGAACCTTGCTCACCATCAAGAACAACACTACCGAAGGATGGTATTATTTCAATTTGATCAGGCTAGAAGGTGGTATGAGGAAAAATAAAGAATAACTTTTCAGATCGTGATATAGACGATCGATAGAACGCGCTCAATGACGCTCTATACGACAAAAAGTATGTCTCTGTAGAATGATGAATAAGGAAAACTAACAGACACTAGATTTGTATGACACTTCCCCCATTTTCCAGATGAAGTCTGGCCGGAAGTGTACAAATACACGAATCAAGCGGCATTAGCTGGGGTTCAGCGAATGGTGGCCAAATTGATAGAGCGCGAAGTTCGAGGGTACCGTAGTGGGGTGTACCAGCCTGATGCGAAAGGGGAGCCTCAGGGCTTGGGGTATTTGCCCTCCGCTAGCGTCATCAGGGGACTTGTGGAGTGCTTTAGGAAGCAGGTGAGATGGTATCCGTCTTTCATCATCGTTATAATCAACCGCATAGTCCATAACGTGTTCCCATCATCCATCTTAACGTAAGTTTTTACCAGACGTAGGGCAATAAAGGAAACTAGCAAACCAGTGAACCAAATGTTCACCAAAAAAAAAAATGTATTTAATTAACTGAGAACTTCGGAGATTTTGTGTGGTTTCGTTTGAAATAGAAATCACGTGATTTCTCGAAAACCGGAAGTGCTACGTTACTCACATCCGGTTTGTTGTCTTATCAGACTATTCTTAACTTATAACTTAAATATTCTCTTTATCTATCTTTTACGGTTTGGCCGCTGAAACAGCACCACGGACGGACGGACGGACTTGTCTAATAGATAAGAGATTTTGAATTTTGAAATCATATGCCTTCATCATCAATCCCGTGGTCCATAACGAGTCTCCAAGTTACCACCGCAATTAGATTTAGATTTGAGAAAATTTGTTTTACAAAAGTGAACGGAAGTTATCGCAGCGGCGTCTACTAGCCTGATGCGGGGACTGGTGGAATGCTTCAGGAAGCAGGAGAGATTAGTATTGAGCTTAAATTATGGCATTCGGTGAGGTTCAGCGAATGATGGCCAAATTGATAGAGCGCGAGGTTCGAGGGTATCGTAGTGGGGTGTGCCAGCCTGATGCGAAGGGGAGCCTCAGGGCTTGGGGTATTTGCCCTCCGCTAGCGTCATCAGGGGACTGGTGGAGTGCTTTAGGAAGCAGGTGATATGGTAGCGTTAACCTAGGGCCTATAGACTGTCTTCAAATCATCATTGAGAAATTCGAAAATTCTTGTATTTAATCTGCCCTCCGCCATCGTCATTAAGGGGCCGGTAGAGTGTTACAGGAATTAGGTGAGATGGTATCCATCTTTCATCATCGTTATAATCAACCCCATAGTCCATAACGTGTTCCCATCGTCCATCTTAAAGTGTACCCAAGTTTGCACCAGACAGTAGGGCAATAAAGGAAATTTTCAATATCGTTTGCCTTCATCATCATAATCTTTCCCATGGCTCATAATGAGTCTCCAAGTTATTACAGGCAACAAGGTAATTATAAAGAAAATTTAAGAAATTGTTGTATCTACATAAGTACGGAGGGAAGGGTCTAACAACCTGACGCGAGGGCGGAACCCCAGGGCTGGGCCCATTTTAACTATTTGTTAAAATTTTACGAGTTTTCTCTAAAGGTGTCACAGAATACAGACTTCTACAATTTTAGATCTTCATTCTGATTGTGCTATTAACAGAGGATAATAATTGCATACATGATATGAGTGGCAAATTCATTTGATAATTATATTCTTTCTCAATAGGTGACATCGCCATCCTACGACTTCCCAGACATAGTTCTTCTATCGATCCTTCACACGCTCACAGAAGAATACCCCAAGCCGATACCGCCAGTCGACCTCTGTTTCTTACACGAGTTATTCCATCGTGGCTCACAATGGACCGGCGGATGTCTCAGATTGGCAGCCAGACAGGCACAAACATCAGGGTCTGCTAGAAGACTGCTTGAAAATTACCTACAAGGCATTGTGCCTGGGACTACTAGCGTAAGTTTTACCTTACTTTGTTTATTGTATAATTGCTCCATCAAGGCTCGCATGGACTGGTGAATGTCTCAGATAGGCAGCCAGACAGGTTCAAACATCAGGGTCTACTAGGAGACTGCTTGAGAATTACCTACAAGGTATGATGACTTTTTTTTATAGAAAGGTTCGACCAGTGACTCCACCCCACCTGATGTTAAGTGATGGTGAAGTCCAGACATGAAGATAGTACAGCAGTACAGACTGGGACTACTATTGTAAGTTTCGCCTCATTTTGTTTTTTATATGAATTATTGTATCGAGAATCGCAATGAACCGGTTATGTCTTAGATTGGCAGCAAGACAGAAATGCACAGTTTGCTAGTAGACTCCTTTAGAAGGGATATATATCATTATCTTGCGTATTTCAGTAAAAAAAAACTAAACAAAAATTCCATTTTCAAATTGGTGCAAAAACGTTTCTCTGGACATTATGGCGCCTCACTGCTATGTGACGCCACGCGACTGTTATTGAAAAGACAAACGATACAATATACTGTCTCCTTGACCGAAAGTTTACTAGCGTGTGACGTCATTTTCATCTTCGCCAATCCCAGGCGTTTTCAGTCACATGACCATAGAACCAAAAAACATTTCTATTTAATGATTTTTTAGAAAAATTATAAATTATTTGTTCTCACAGAATAGTAAAATGATTGCTTATATTCGTATTAAATACAGATGCAAACAATAGGCTACTTGACAGTATGAAAAATAATGTATGTATGGCATCTGTGTTTAATATAAATATTAGCAGCCATTTGACTATTTTGATAATAACTTTTCTATAAAATCATTAAATACAAATGTTTTTTTTGCTTCATGGTTACGTGACCGAAACCCACCAGGGATTGGCCAAGACTAAAATGACGTCACACGGTAGTAAACTTCCGGCTAAAGTGACATTACATTGTATCGTTTGAAGTTTTAATGACAGTAGTGTGACGCTATAATTAATATCCAGAGAAACATTTTTGCGGCAACTTGAAAATTTATTTGTTATCTTAGTTTTTTTTTACTGAATGACACAACTGAATTATAAATGTCCACCGTGTACGGACTCCATAAACATTAGTCAATATGGTGATCTCGTTTTCTAAAACTTGTCAAATACCCTATTGGTACTTTATTTTTCATAGTGTTCAATAGCCTATTCAACATTTTCTTGCGAACAATGACAATATAAGCCAACCAGCGCTGGCGTTGCGACGATGTGGGGGTCTTTAAATTTTAATATAATACAGGGCCGATTCATCTCCATTGGAAGCACCCGTTAACGAGCATGACGCATGAACCAGTCACCCCTTCAACTATATTTTAGGAAAAGTATCAATTATATTATGTAGTACGTTTATTTACAGGAAGCTGATATCCTTCAAATGTTCGAGATTCTCCCCATCCTATGTCGTGGTATGCCGCCAAATTCTTTACGCGGGCCTTTGGAACGATGCTTGTCTTCAGCTTACGAGGCAGTCGCCAATCTCAAACAGCAAGACTTGGTGGAAGGCCAAGAACCACTGTTTGTGAGACAATTGCGAGCCGTCAAAGATAGTTTGGAAAGCGAGAAGACACACGATGCGAATAGAACTCTTCTGTCGCAGTTCATGGAGAACTACTTCATCGTAATACCCGATGACAATATTGTGAGTATTATTGGCGTTATAAGTTATCATTCTTTGCATATTTTTGCATGAACAATCGATCAATCAATGAACTCGCTTTTCGAGTTTAAACACTGAAAAGGGTTAGAAGAGCCTTGTGGGCGCGCTGCAGTTGTGAGTAAATGCTCATAACTTGGTTCTGATTGTTGCTCTCGGGTGTTCGCGCTGATTGGTTGAACTGTTTGATGTCGCGTCGTTTCATTGGCTATAATCTATTAGGTGAAAGAGTAGTGGAGGCGAGCTGGCGACATCGGTTCCCGTAGAAACGGTCTATGAACACCCTTCTAACCTTTTCTCTTATCTCTTATCTTAATTATATAATAGTACATTATGATATAAGTGCGGTAAGTTGAGAATTACAGCCGAGGCGATGGTGAGGGCTATAAGAAGGCAGAGTCAGTGATTATCAAACCGCACGTATGTCATACGACGTTTTATAACATATTTGTGAGGAAATAATACTACCTACGTACGTACTTTCTGAAAATGAATTTGCACCTGTGTTTGTTTTCCATAAGATGAAATTTTGATACGCTTGGGCAAGAGGCTTAGCGAAGCCTTTTTCGACTTCTGGCGGTGTCAAATTAATAAATTCGTTACTACTTGACAATATTTTCAAATAAAAACAATACAGCGAAAAGAAAAATAAATCACTTTTTCACAGATTAGCGATGCGCGCGCATCAACGATTTTTTTAGGCAAAGGAACAAGAAACAGCCAGTGTTACTAATAAAGTAAATTAATATTTTTGTGAATTTGTTACCGAAACATGGTTGTTATTTATTGTCAAAATGAATCAAATTATAGAATTAAATGTTTATATATTATATTTTATCTCCCAAATTAAATTTTATTAAGAAAATGTTGGCTACCTTAAAAAAGTATTTAGACGGAACATAATAAGCCGTGCAATTTTTCTTTACATTACCGCACGCGTGTGTAATGTGATAGATTATGATATTGAAATTGGTGCAATAAGAGACGCTTTACGAGCAAATGTGTTATAAAATTATTAGTTTACCAAATGCGCCATGTTAAATATAAGTAATTTAAAGTAAAAGTTGTTAAAATAAAACCATTGCTTTTTGCGTCATCTCTGTAAAGTGACAAAAATATATTTCTTTATAAAAATATGACAATTAAAAAAGTTTCTAATACAACAGAGAGTTTCAATAATCAAACTCCATCATTTTTATTATTTAGACGATAATAACAACTGTTGTTAAGTAACGGAACCAGAATATTTTAAATTTTAATGGAGGTTGATTATTGAAAATCAGTGTTAGATATCCCTTCATAGGATATCCGATAGAGTAAAATATTTTCGCTTCTTTCTCATGGTCAAACTGTGATGTTTCCACGACAAAAACACATTATTATTAGGTTTCCTTACTCAAAAGATGACTTTCCGTTAATCACTGTGCTCTTTCTCTTAAAAGGAAAAGAGAAATAACAGAGACATACTATGAAAAATAGACTTGAAATTTTCACAAAATGCGTATTATTGTTGCTGGTATGACAACAAATATATATGCATTGGTGGAGTCTCACTTAAGGTACAGTATATGATTCTGGGGGAATTCATATAAGTACAATATAGATAAGGCGTTTGTTCTGCAAAAAAGATCTATAAGAACTATAATGCGTATTCCACAATGGGAATCCTGTAGAGATCATTTTAAGAATTTAAAAATTTTGACTGTCCCTAGCCTTTATATTTATGAATTGTTGTCTTATATGATTAAGGCTCCTGAAAAATATGAAATGTCGCAGGATAGGGTTAAACGCTTACAGACGCGTAGAAAAGATTTGACAAGTTCAGTGGCACCTAGATTGAATGTTGTCTCCCACAGTGTTAGATATCAAGCGGTTTACTTATATAATCGTTTACCCAGCTATTTGAAATCAATTGTACAAATTAATTTATTTCGTAATCGTTTAAAAACCTTCTTGTTGGAAAAATGTTTTTATAGTGTTGAGGAATTTGTTACACATAGGTTATAAGTTTGACATTTTGATTTATATTTATTATTATAATTTTATTATGAAATGTTATTGATTATTTATAAAAAAATGATTTTTTATTATTGAAATTGATATTTTTAGTAATTAGCCAGATTATAATTGTATTTTTTAATCAATTTAATTTATTTAAGAAAGTGCAATATTCTTAAATTCTCATAACAATAATTATGCAATGTTATTGATTATTATTGTTATACTGATTGGATTTTTATATTATTGACATTTATATTTTAGTTATTGGTCAGAGTATTCTATTTTATCAATTGTTTTTTTATTAATGTGCAAAAATTTGTACTTCCAACACAATGTAATATTGTTAAGGAATAAATAAATAAATATTAACTTTATGACTTGTGCATTTAGCCAATGTCTAGTGTTAAAACGTTTACAAATACTATAGCACTCGTGGTCAAAGTAATAAATCAAGTCAAAGTCAAGTCAATCCCTGTTTCAGTAAAAGTGTGGGGATTTACTGGAACCTCCCTGTGGACTTTTTGAGGGAACGTCGAAAGGCACTTTCAGCTATTTTGTTTCACTTGCCAACACTTGTGCATGTTCCTGAACACTTAGTGGTCAATAATCCACCATTATTAGATACTAACATCCGATTTTAACAAGAAAAACAAAACCGCCAAAAATTTCATAAAAATATAGTCTATATAGTTGGTGTTTAAAAGTGGTGTTAAAAATATTTTTTATATTCTTTCATTTATGATCACAGGCATGGCCAGCTTACGTGGAGACTTGTCAAGCGTTGTCCACGAAGTACTTAGAACGTATGACGTCACCGTCCAGCTGGTGGGAGGTCACTTCGGAAGCGTTGCGTAAATCTTGCGCCGTGCGATCGAAACTAGGAAGCTTAGTGTGGTTACATGAAATCATTGACGCTGTCGCCACGCAGATAACGTGAGTATTGGGATCATGGAAGTTAAGAAACTTTCGCAATGGCCTGTCATTGGATGGGTGACCAAAAACTTATTATCTCTAGCCTCTCCCCGGCTGGATTTGCAGTTGTTAGTACTCACCAATCCGCACTGGGCCCGCGTGGTGGGTCATCGCCAAATCTCGCTATTCGTGCTTCGGAAGGCGACTAAGCTATTCTGGCTTCGCTTGCAGTCGTTAGTACCCACCAATCCGTACTGAGCCCGGCCGCGTGGTGGGTCATCGATCAAACTCCCTATTCGTGCTTCGGATGGCATGCTAAGCCACCCTGGCTGCATTTGCAGTCATTCGGCCGTTCATCAACTTTTACATTATTTTTCTAAACAGTCCTTTTTCTTATTTATTTTACTCAAACAATAATATTGTTAGTTTGCTTTATATTGATAATTACTTTAAATATTTGAATTATTATTACTAATTTTTGAATAGGGTATTTGACAAGTTTATGGAGTCCGTAAAAAGTGGATATTCATCATTCTGTTGTGTATTTCAGTAAAAATAACCAAATCAAAAACTAAATTTTCAAGTGGCCGCGAAATCGTTTCTCTGGACAATATGGCGTCTTACTAGTGTGTGACGTCACACGACTGTTATTAAAACGTCAAACAAAACAGATGCCCATAATTGGCACTTTATTTTTAACACTGTGAAATACCCTATTGTTATTAAATATTTGAGCTTGATATTACTCTAAATATTTATTTAGAAAATAACTACGGGCCTCCGCTCGAACGAAATTCTTTGCCTTGAGCTTCCGGACCTCCATGGAACGGCCTGCGAACTGTCATCTATACGTCAATATAACAGTTCCACTTCTACAACCTGTTCCCATAGAACAGCTTGATATTATGGTTGTTGAATTCTCCCATATTTCTTAATTTACTGGGTTATTTTACCAAAAGCAGTTTTTATTTTTCACTAGCTGTGCCCCGCGGTTTATTAGGGATATTTTGCCGCAGTAAAACGTAGCCTGTGTGTTAATCCTGGGTGTCAGCCAACTTCATGCCAAATGTTATTAAAATCGCTTCAGCCGTTTAGACGTGAAGAAGTAACAAACGTACACACTCACAAACTTTCGCTTTTATAATATTAGTGTGATACTCCCTGAAACATGACATTAATTGTGACTGACGCCCTCCGTGGCCGAGTGATTTATACGCCAGGTTTCATGATGTCGCCGACTCGAGAGGTCCCGGGTTCAAATCCCGGTGGAGGCAGATGTTTGTCTTTAGTCTTTACTTATTTGCATAAAATATGGTGTTCATAAGATGTTACATTTGTGTTTCATGTTATGTTAGACATTCAGTATAAATAAAGTATGATATAAATAATTAATTATATTAGATAAAATATGAATAATTGTGTGATGAATACGAGCATTTGTACTCCAATCATGGATGTTTAATATCTATATATATAAAAATGAAACCCGTTTTCCGTTGTCACGACATAACATGAAAACGGCTTGACCGATTTGGCTGATTTTTTTTTGTAGTTTTCTAATACTCTGTACAAGGTTCTTACGGAAAAAAATATAAAGAAAATCTCTCAGAAAGATTGAAAAATATAACGTAACGAATGTCAACGTCATTCAATTTAAAACAAAAAATCTGTGGTAATCTGTGACACCACATCGATAACCGCGCTGACAAATGTCAACGTCATTCAATTTAAAACAAAAAAATCTGTGGTAATCTGTGACAATGAGGGCTACCGTTTTCTGCCTCACCAGATGGCGCCACTGTTGAGTGAGGTCCTAAATTGTAACTTTTAAAGTTTATTAATACGCACATGAAATCAAAGGTTACATTTAGATCGTATTTTAACACAAAAGAACCATATCCTAAACATAATAGGCGCTGCCACAGTGGGGCGCAGTTCCGTTTTATTCGGAAAAAATGGGAACATAATCATTTTTCTCAGCTCAAATTTTTAATAACTGACATTCATTGCCACATAACTCATATTTGCCATAATTAAGCCGAATTGTTACCAATTATTCACAACATTATTTTAATTAGAAATAAACCCGCGTAGTCAACCAGCAAGCAATAACATTTGACATTTCGGAGACCTCACGCTACACTAGCGCCTCTAGCGGCGGATTCATACGCGATAGCCCTCATTGAATAGGTACTCATACATAAGATAGGTCAGCTATACAAAATAAAGTAGTGCATCAAAGCTACGCTAAGGCGGTACGAAGTTCGCCGGGTCAGCTAGTATTTCTATATAAATATACTTATATATGTACAGTATATATGTATTCTATCCGTTACCCTAGTATCCTATAACACAAGCCTTACAGTGCTTACTTTAGGGCTAGGCTAATTGGTGTGAGTGTTGGAAATATTTATTTATTTTAATTATTCGTTATTTTTCTACAGTGAGCAGCAGTTCTCGCTGGAGTGTATGAGTCCAGCGCTACAGAAGGCAGTAGTCGATGACACCTCCACGCGGGACTGGTTCCTGCAACTGATGGCCCGAACTCAGGCCGCGTTTAAAGAGTTAGTTCCTAAGCTTTCATCATCATCATCATCAGCCTATTAATGTCCCCACTGCTGGGGCACAGGACTTCCCTAAGGATGGAATAGGGAGATTGGGCCATGACCCACAACGCGGGCCCTAACGACTGCATATGCAGCCGAGACCAACGGCTTAACGTGCCTTCCGAAGCACGGAGGAACACGAGATAGAAGATTTTTGGTTACCCATCCAATGACCGACCACTGCGATACTTGCTTAACTTCAACTATCGCAGCCGAACGCGCTAACCCTCCGCGCCATTGAGCTCCTCAAAGCTTTGTTCAGTCATTATTTATGTATTTATTGTGTCTCCATTACTACAGAAGGCAAGTGTCATACGGGATTAGTTCCTTCTAATGAAGCCGCAGACGACTTTTTGGCGGGATCGGGAAGCGTCACTTTAGCAGTTTTGTTTTTCTTGTTAAAAATTGTGTTGTGGCGGATGTTAGTGTCTAATAATTTATTTATTTACTTATTTAAACTTTATTGCCACAATTACAAAAATGGACAAAAGGCGGACTTAACGCTAAAAGCATTCTCTGCCAGTCAACCTTTAGGCATAAAGAACCTCAGCCGACGTCTGAGTATAGATTTGTAGGTCATCAGCATAGTAATCTAATAATGGTGGATTATTAACCATTAAGTGTTCGGGAACATGCACAAGTGTTGGCAAGTGAAACAAAATAGCGGAAAGTGTCTTTCGACGTTCACTCAAGAAGTCCACGGGGAGGTTCCAGTAAATCCCCACACTTTTACTGAAACGGGGGGAATGGGGGATTGACTTGACCGCCACTTACTTTGACTTGACTTATTACTTTGACCACGAGTGCTATAGTATTTGTATACCTACATTTAACACTTGACATTGGCTAAATGCGCAAGCCGTGCGAAGCCATTTAGAAAAAAAAGCCGCAGACTCAGGTCGCGTTGAAAGAGTGAGTAATTTAGCTTCACTTACTATTTATTGTGTGTCATTAGTAGCATGGAGGAGTTCAAGTGCGCAGAACAGCACGATGTGTGAAAATTAAGCAACTTACAGTCATCGGATGGGTGACCAAAAGTTAATTGTTTCGAGCTGCTCCTTGGTCGAGCTTATCCGTTGGTCCCGGCTGCATCTGCACTCGTTAGCACCCATCAATCCGCATTGCGACGGGACATGGCCCAGTCTCCCTATTACTACGCTCGCGCGTAGCGAACCCGTTCGGACGCTGTTTCCTTAGTGCTCTTTTACGAAAACTATTGAGATACCCGCGACAAGAAATTATAGAAAGAATAATTTTTAAGTTGTTATATTTCGTGGCAAAATTATGGTGAAGTGTGTAAAATGTGCTAAGCCCCTAAGCAAAAAAGTCCCTGGGCTGATGTGTACTAAGTGCAGTAAATGGCAACATGCGACATGTGCTGCTATATCTGTCGACCAACTGACCGCGCTCTCATCCACGGAGGCAGTGGAATGGAAGTGCAGAAGCTGTACAAGTACGGCGAAGCCCAAGCGGCTCTCCTTTATTGTACCTGATGAAGGGGATGTGTCTGAAATAACGCAGATGCAGAACCTATTATCAACCCTGAGGGTATAGACCTTACTCGGATTGTTCAACAAGTAATGCAACAAGTAACATCCATAGGGAAGGTCTGTGTCCCAGCAGTGGGGATATTAGTAGGCCGATGTTGATGAGAGATGTTTAAGAGCGCTTTAATTTGGAATTCTCCTCATTTTGTTTTTTCCAGTGTCGCCTATTTGATCCCCTGGGGGTCTACTCTCTTTCTCCGAAACGAACTTTCGATAACGAATTTCAAACGAAATTTAATTTTGTCAATTTAAGGTTAAACTTAATTTGAACGATAAACTATCAAATTGAAGCTTTCTTTGAATAGGTTTAGAGAACCTACACCTATATTCCGATGACGAATATTATTATAATTAAAAAGGAACCAGAAACATAGTAAGAAAAGTGCGAAGTTTCGATCGAAATTTCGTGTTTCGTTGAATTAGGGTAGGCGTCCGACCGTAGGTAGCACGAATCAAAATCGAATTCGTAACGTTTGCGAGTCCGAAATGTCATTGTCAAATCTGTACTGATTTTTAGTTCTCGTTAGGGGCCGTTCAAGTATTACGTAAGCAGATTAATTACAATTATTTATCCCCTCCTCCCCCTTGTCAGCAAAATTAAGCAAAGCTCTTACCTCCCCCTCCCGTGCTTACGGAAATATTGGTATGTTATTGCATTTTTCCTTTAATATATTCTGTTTTTTATTGATTCATGAGCTGTCATGAGCTTCATGAGCAGCAGTACTTAAATAGGTTAGGATAGAGGACTTTAACGCACATAATATTCATTTAAACATACTTGATTGACACAGTATTCAGCATAGGGTAAGGTACAAATGTTATATTAAGTTCTATTACGAACAAAACAAACTTCTTTCGAATTTTTGGTATATGTATACCAATTAACAGTCTTCAGTCCATGACACCCGAATCCATGATGCTGACGTAATCACTATCTCCCATGTCATCAAAAATAAGTAAAGCAAAGATCCCCCTGCCCCCCTAGAGTGCTTACGTAATACTTGAACGGCCCCTTACGTACTTTGTACCGCTGCTGTTCAAGTTTCCGTACAAAATATGACATTGACATTTCGGTTTGCAAACTATTCGAATTCGATAATGGTTCGTGCTAGGGGTACTGGTCCCTAATAGCACACTATTCAACAGAACGGAGGAGATGTCTGCAAAACTGTACCTTCTGGACGTGTTCACTCTCAGCGTGATAATATTCAGTGGGCATTGGACATTGGACACGAGCTACTTGACTAGCCGCGACACCCGTAATCACCTGTGCCCCGCTGCCTGCTGCGATTTACTAGAACGACCACTTTGGACTGATATACAACCTAAGGTATTTCTTTTACTCATATTTTTTATTTTTTTTTATTAATTGATGACCTCTGTGGCCGCATGGTTTGTACACCGGATTTCATGGTGTCGCCGACTCGAAAGCTCCCGGGTTCGAATCCCGGTGGGGGCAGATGTTTGTGTGATGAATACGAGCATTTGTACTCCAGTCATGGATGTTTAATATGTATTTCCATATAAATATATATCTCTATGTTAATCTCCCCACCCGCCAATCCGCACTGGGCCCGCGTGGTGGGGAGATTAACAGGCTGATGATGAAACTATTATTATATTTGTCATTCAGATGATCGAATGGGTTCGTCACACGTCCCAGAGTGTTGAGGACGGGGGAGTCTGCGGGCGCACTTTACTAGCCCTCTCTCACTGGCAACACTTCGGGCGCGCCTTCCTGCATCTGTGAGTTGCCATCCTATATCAATACATACTCAAACATTTAATCAGACTAGCGGCCGCCCACGAGTGGAGTTAGTTAGAAATAAAGGTTCACTGCTCGTCCCCCTTAGGTGATAGCGTGATAATAATATGTAGCCTATACGTTGACCCGACTTCTTAATAATATTCGTGTCAAATTTGAAGTAAATCCATGCAGTACTTTTTGTGTTTATCCCGGACATACATACAGAAAAAAAAGACAAAATCAAAAACTATATTTTTTGCTTTGGTATCGATTGTAGATCACACCCCAAGTATTCTTTTAAAAAAATATTCAATGTACTGTTTAAACTTTCCTACCATTTTATTATATGTATAGATGATCGAGTGGGTACGTCCGACGTGCTTGGAGGACGGGGGAGTGTGTTACTGGCATAGATCTTAGATTCTAACAAAAATGGTATATAAGGCATTCAAAAGTGATCCGCTTAAATTGTCGTGCATGACCACAATTCGCTTAAGTCACAATTGGAATCCACGCGGACCGGGTCCAGTCAGCAGACGGGACTCGAACCCACATCCTTCGCTATCCGGGCGAATGAATACATCAAGCAGTTACAGTACATGCTAAATATATACATATATATATTTATAATATTTGTCAGGATTGTAGACCCACACAAAATTACTCATCTATAGTCATTTAACTGTAATAATGATTCGAAAGGAACTTGATTGCCCTGCTGTTTTTAGAAAATATCTTTTCTTCGTTACACATTTGATAGCTTTTATTTGTCATTTGGAATCGATTGTTATAAGTTCGTATCAGATTATGTATTTTAAATTAAATTTGATACGTCTTTTTCAAGTCTCAATTTTATGTCCCATATAGATCAAGATAGTTGTGCAACTCTAGTCAACTTAATATTTTGAATTTTTAATGACATTTATAGTTTTACGTCATTACATAAAATGACATGAAGCTATTATAGTCATAAAAAGTTCGGACGGACAAATTGATTTAAAATTAATTACACAACAAAGTTTGCTAATATGTATATCAGCTATATTTCTAAGCGATCCAACCTAATTATATTTAAAGGAAATATTACTCGAAAAAATTCCACGCGGACCAGGCAGCAGACGGGACTCGAACCCGCACCCTTTAGCTACCCGGGCGAATGCACTGACCAATTTGCTACCGCGACCCTGACGGCCGTGTTCAATTTTCTCTAGCCCTTCTTAAGCTGCAAGGCCCGTCCCGTCTGCTGCCTGGTCAAAGTGTTTTTTTTTTTATTTAGATTTAAACATCTAGTAGTTGCATGCTTAAAAATAACTAACTAATTTCATCATTTACTTGTTGCAGGGACGGTTTCTTCGCTATAGATACGACACGTGTTGAAGACTGAATTTATTTATACCAATTCATATTGATTGGTTTGGTAAATAAACATTTACCGCCTTATTCCAAATTACGGACTAAAGTTAGTCTTCGTTTAAACCTAATGTTGTCTCCGTCTTCTTTTTAGCAAACAAAAGTGGCAATATCATTTTAACCCAGGTTTAACTAAAGTTAAGACTAAAGTCTACGTTTCGTAATAAGACGGTTAGGCTTAGGTTTCGATTCATAGGAGCAAAGCTCAAGGATTAGGGACACCAAAAAGTTGTTAAAGATAAACATACATCGTCTTTTTTTTAATTGTAACTGCCATTTGTATTACCGACCTAAGAGATCTGCTGTTATTATTTAAATGATGTTGAAATAAAATAATCGTTTTAAAATTCTTACTATTTATTTAATCTCACATTTCTATATACAAATATCAGGTAACACTTCATAATAATAATATAAATACTAAAACTTAATTTTGCAAGATACGGTCATTTAAAATAATCAACCTGCAGTTGTTATTATATCTTAAATTCAACGATATTAAATACCCTAGACACACCACGTGCGCTCAAATTGTGTCCCAATCAAGACGTGCTTGAACATCACTCAAGCTCTTTTGTTCACAGTCACGCGCGAACCATTGAAAAGCCAAGATGCCGCAGAGCTCCATGAAAAAAATGGGGAAAAAATACTTATAGTACGTAAAGTGTTATTTCTTCGACAGGTATCTAATCAATGTTTGATAATTTAACGCATTCGAAGCAAATTTTATGTTCTAATACTAACTATTAACTGATTTAATAGAAAATATTTGTGATATTCAAATGCATGGTCGGTTATATAGCCATCTCTTTTCCTTGCGGTCCGTACCGGCTATATTGCTAACAGCGCATTCAGAATTGCGAGTAGAGTCGAAGAAATAAGGTCTATATTCTTCCGCATATAGCAATAAGTGGTAGAATTTCACGAGCTTGCATTTCGAACTGTCATAACTCTTTGACGTATGCATTTTATTTAAGACCTTATAGAGTATGCATTAAAGGTGACTTTCAATGTTTAAATAATGCCTTATATTGTTTTGACCACGCGATCATCTTAAAGAGCTCCGTGGATCGTCCAATGTACCTTTTGGACTGGTTTCGGCCACGATTTTGTTCGTGTTGGTGTATCTAGGGTATTTAATATCGTTGCTTATATTATTAGTTGTTATATATCTTAGCAACAAAGCTTTGTTGCTGTTAGCAGTAGTAGCTTGAACAGTTACATGCTTAAAATATTGAAATTATAAAAAAAAAACAGTTTCTTAACACTTTTACCTATACTAATCACTACTTATGTCAATAATAAAGATTAACAATATTTCACATAAATAAAATATTTACAAGTTCCGAGACTAGGTAATGAAGAAATCTTACTTAACTGTAAATGCGGAATTAGTGAAGTGATGAATTGTTCCAATGAGAAAAGAGCATATTATTTTAGACTCAGTGGTACCCACTCCCAAAAATATTTAGGTAGCTCTAAAACTGATACCCATCAAATCACATTAAACTCCTTACCTAATAAAAACGGCCGCCCCATGGCGCTTTAGACCTTTAAAGAACGTTAATTTAGTACATTTCGTGCAGTGAAATATAATTTCTCATTTTCAATCATTTAAAAATCCCAGCTCAATTTCTCCTTAAATGGGGTAAACTCAGCTAAGTTGACAACACTGATCCTAATAGTTGGTGATTGTTGGGAAGAAAGAGTGTCGAATATTATCGCTCTGCTTCAAGACAGGGATGAAATGTTGAGCTCCCCAACTACAGACCGCATACAAAGGTACCCGCTTGTGTCAAGCTAACCAAGCTTATATGTATAGTTACACCCCATAAGCTAGTGACATGCCCCCAAACGTTGTTTAGCTGAGTTATTTGCGTTTGATCAATTTGTTTAATCTGAATCGTTCGTTTATTAGATCTACAGTAAATCTGTCCCCGTATCATGAGCATCACAATTTGCATTATAATACATTTTTAATCGCGTCTAACTATCAAACTCCATAGTAACTTGACAGTTGGACATAATAAAAACGCATTTTATATCTTTTTTTTTTTTTTTTTTTTTTTTTTTTTTTATAGTTAGGTCCGACAAATGACTCCACCCCACCTGATGTTAAGTGAAGGTGAAGTCCAGACGCGATCTTATAGTGGTGCTCATGCTAGGGGGGCTGAAGCGTGCGGTAATTCTGCTCAGAACAGTCCCATGTAAATATGTTTGCTCGCAGTATTTAACCGACGAGAAAGATTAATCTAGTTATCTGTCATTTTGGGTTAGAAGTTAATCTACGGTTGGTCGGGCCGTTCGGTAATAGCAATTTGCTCAGATTAACGGCGATGCAAATACGGAACGCACAGTGCCGTCTTTGGCCTATTGGAGGCCCTGGGCATGTTAGGATAGGGGCCCCACTATGAACTAGGGACTTTGTATTTGATCTGAGGGGGGCCCCTATTGATCGCGGGGCCCTAGGCACTTGCCCAAAGTGCCCACTGGGAAAGACGGGTCTGGGAACGCACCTTGTCATCCGACTGTGACGTCACTAATTAAAAAGCGGGTTACCCTCCCCGCACGCCGCCAAACTTGAATTCGAAATGCTCGGTGGTCGTACGATATCGCTTTCTCTTTCTAAGAGGTGGTCAACTTTATCCAGCCCCCCCTTAAATACCGCGATATTATATATAACTCGATTTTATCACGCTTAATTGTCACATTACTGTGGAATTTGACAGTTAGACGCGATAAAAACGTGATCTATCGTAAATTGAGGTGCTCATATTATGGGTACAAGTCAATTCACTCTTTTGAGTTTATGGTGACTCCAGAGACAACGACTTCGTCTATAACCGCTGCAAAGGCTACAGAGAAGCGTGTAGAGATATAGTGAAAAACCCAGGCGCGGTCACACCGTCTTATCTATGGGCGGTTTGATCTCTAAACTCCTTACTTATTGGCCCTTTGGTCTATCGCTTGCTCTCTATCTAGAGTACGATCAAGGTAATGGAGGTATTGCTCAGTTCATTACCTTGAGACTACGGTGTCTGCAAAGTCTACAATAAAACCTCAAGACATGCAGATGTCAGACGGCCGTCTCGTCTGTTGGCGGCTCTTGAGTATAATCAACTTAATACAGGTATTACAAAGTCATCAACAACAGTCCATGGTGGCTACAAAGAAAAGACTTGGACTTTGTCTATGGTGGCTACCGAGAAGCGTATAGAGAGATAGTGCTGTGGGAGCGGTCACACGGCCGTTATGTCTACGGGCGGTTTGACCTAGAGACTCTACTTCTTTGCCTGTAGATCTATCGCTATATTTCTTTCTAGAGGGTGAGTAACTTAATCCAGGTTTTTGCTGGTCCATTTTCTATGTGTTTGGTGGATCTCTGTAGTCTATGGTGGCTGTAAAGTCTACAGGGAAGCTTATAGTAATTCAGGTATGACTAAGTTTTTCGAGTCTATGGTTTCTGCAAAGTCTACAGGGAAGCTTATAGTGAGATAGTGGAGACGCCGGGCGCAGTCTGCTGGCGACTTGATCTCCAAGACTCCTTTTGCCGCCCGTTGGTCGCACAATCGCTTCCTTGCTTTCTAGAGTATGATCAAGTTAATTCAGGTATGACTAAGTTTTTTGAGTCTTTGGTGGCTGCAAAGTCTACAGGGAAGCGTATAGTGAGATAGTGGAGACGCCGGGTGCAGTCTGATCGCTTTCTTTCTTTCTAGAGTATGATCAAGTTAATGCAGGTATGACTAAGTTTTCTTGAGTCTATGGTGGCTGCAAAGTCTACAGGGAAGCGTATAGTGGAGGCACGGGGCGCAGTCTGATCGCTTACTTTCTTTCTAGAGTATGATCAAGTTAATGCAGGCATGACTAAGTTGTCTTGAGTCTATGGTGGCTGCAAAGTCTACAGGGAAGCGTATAGAGAGATAGTGGAGACGCCGGGCGCGGCCGGCGGGCGCGGTCACACGGCCGTCTCATCCGCGGGCGGTTTAGTCTCCGGACTCCGAAGTCCTACGCGGATCACCTCGTCTTCTAGCTTAGACTCGATAGGCATGTTCTGAGGATGTTAAAAAAAAATGTCAGGAGTTATAGCCCTTGTTTTCAAATTAAGACTTCGGTGGCATATTCTAAGAATTTCCGAAAAGAAATGTCAGGGTCAGAAAAAAACTGAATTAATAGATTCAGGTGAGGAGCGCGATGGCGTAATGCTTAACGTGCGATTTAGAAAGCTAAGAAACTTTGACGATAATAAAAGATATCTTGATCTCCTCTTCGATCTTCGGAAGGCACGTTATGTAAACTGTCGGTCCTATCTGCATCTGGCAACTTAAGCAATGGTCGATTTACGATGGGTGACAAAAATATCTCGAGCTTCGCCGTGCTTCAGAATGCACGTTAAGCCGTTGGTCCCGGCTGCACCTGCAGTCGTTAGCTTCTACCAATTCGCACATTCTCCTTATTTCATCCTTTCGGAAGGCCTATGTCCCAGCAGTAAGGGAAAGGGTTAAAGTGCAGATATAATATGATGCATTTATGCTTATATATAAGAGCACATAAGAGACAGGGGACAGTGGATTTCCCGCTCGAATTGAAGCGCCCTTCTGGGGAAGTAACCTCCGCCTTACAGAATACCACAGAAGACACAACCTTGTGGTGATTAAGGCCCGTATTATAGAATGACAACTAAGTTTTGATCTTTACTTGAGTACAGTTAGAAAGGGATGTTGCTATGTGCTATATATAGCGACATCCCTTGCTAACTATGCTCAAGACTAGATCAATAACTGAGAATCTCTCTATAATACGGGCCTTAGTGTTTAGCTATCGGTGAGTAAGGTTCCAGGGCTGCACGGGATAGGGGATCAGGAGGTCTACTCTAATTCAACGAAAAACGAAATTTTGATCGAAACTTCGCACTTTTCTGACTATGTTTCTGGTTCGTTTTTTATTATAATAATATTCGTCGATGGAATATAGATTGAATTGTAGATTTTCTAAGCATACTCAAAGAAAGATTAAATTTGATAGATTATCGGTCAAATAAAGTATAACCTTAAATGAACGAAATTAAATTTCGTTTGAACTTCGTTATCGAAAGTTCGTTTCGGAAAAAGAGAGTAGACACCCTGGTGTGTAGGGTAGGCAGAGGAGCGAGCTCAATAGGCGTTTACCATCAGGCGGGTCATAATATGCTTGTCAAAAGGAAAGGAAGAATATTTACAGGCTTTAAAAAGGATCCTCTTACCTCCAACGCCGTATAGTGTCTATGCGCTGTAGGTAGTTTGTTTGCGCCGGGTAGCGCAGCCAACGCGCCGGGCCTCAGTCTCGCCGCGTCCAGCAACCGCGGCCGACGTCCCGGACTGGAGCGGGGAGAACCACGAACACACGCGCCCACACTCTTCAACAACCTAGCCCTGAGACGAGCCGCACCCTTTAATATCATCGGCATGCAATAAGGAGATAGAAGGAGTGGCGGTGAAATGACACGCACTGTTTAATATCATCAACAGACAATTATGAGACAGAAGGACTGGCGCTGGCACGACTTGCACTCTTTAGTAACATCAGCAGACAGTAAGGAGACAGAAGATCTGGTACGAGGAGTACCGCGTACACACGCACCCACAGTCTTTAATAACCTAGCCCTGAGATGATCGGCACTCTTTAATATCATGACGGGCATTAAAGAGACAGAAGGAATATGGAGGATAGGACAATTATGAGACAGAAAGACTGCTGCTGTCACGACTAGCACTCTTAGACCCGTATTATAGAAAGATTCTCAGTAATTGATCTGGTCTTGAGCACAGTTAGAAAGGGATGTCGCTATATATAGCACATAGCGACATCCCTTTCTAACTGTACTCAAGTAAAGCTCAACACTTAGTTGTCATTCTGTAATACGGGCCTTAGTATCATCAGTGCACAATTATGAGACAGTACTGGCGCTGTCACGACCAGCACTCTTAGTATCATCAGCGGACAATTATCAGACAGAAGGACTGGCGCTGTCACGTCCAGCACTCTTAGTATCATCAGTGGACCATTATGAGACAGAAGGACTGGCGCTAACACGACCAGCACTCTTAGTATCATCAGCGGACAATTATGAGACAGAAGGACTGGCGCTGTCACGACCAACACTCATAGTATCATCAGCGGACAATTATGAGACAGAAGGACTGGCGCTGTCACGTCCAGCACTCTTAGTATCATCAGTGGACCATTATGAGACAGAAGGACTGGCGCTAACACGACCAGCACTCTTAGTATCATCAGCGGACAATTATGAGACAGAAGGACTGGCGCTGTCACGACCAACACTCATAGTATCATCAGCGGACAATTATGAGACAGAAGGACTGGCGCTGTCACGACCAACACTCATAGTATCATCAGCGGACAATTATGAGACAGAAGGACTGGCGCTGTCACGACCAACACTCATAGTATCATCAGCGGACAATTATGAGACAGAAGGCCTGGTACAAGAATACCGCGTACTCACGCGTCCACTCTCTTCAATAACCTACCCTTGAGATAACCCGCACTCTTTAATATCATCAGCGGACAATGAGGCAGTGACGCTGCCAGGCTTAACCTAACTGTTGACTCTTAACTCAATTATTTCTATATATACCACTAGACAGGCTATAAAATTACATATTGAGGGTGTTTATGAAAATGTACGTTACCATTGGCGCCACGGTGACATGAAGTCTTTTGTACGAAGTTTTTGGCTCGAATTAAACGAACAAGCATTTAAATTGATCCATAGACTATGATGATCTACATGATTTGACGAAAAAGTAGACCTTTCTGCTCAGTGCTGCCACTTGGCGTCCGTCATTCATAAAATCATATATTATACAGGTCGCGGCACATAACTCTAGCGCTGAACGAAACTCGGAGGGGATAGCTGCGCGGGTACGACTGGAGAGCCAATCGGCGCAACGCACGCCCGCCCGCGCATTCTGTTTCCGCCCAAGACATCTTAATTTTTACTTCTGCGCAATAACGGTCAGCGCTTGAGTTTCGTGTCGCGACGTATACCGATCTATCAAGAATTTCAAAGAGACAAATAGTTGGTTTCCAACATCAGACTTGATCAGGAATCAAACTCAGGTCCTAAAATTTATGACGAATGATAGTTTGGCAAGAGCACAGAACTCAAAATAAATCTTTATTTGCATTATTAAGGCTTATGATATTTTTGTTTTCAAAAGTTAATCGATTATTTATGTTTACTATAGTTTTTTGTTATAGATACTTTTTATAACTTACGCATCCAACAGTTTAAGCAGCAGTCTACTATAAGCCTGGTATTCGTCTTCCCCGAACTCGCCAGGATGGTGCCTCGCGTACTCATAGGTATCACAGAACTGGTGCACGAGTTTCTGACCGTGACCATCCAGTGGTGCCGCTAGGGAGGAGAGGAGGAATGCTCGGAGGGACTCTCGCGGGTGCCTGCGCAATCCTGGCTCTTGGTGGGCGATTTCATCTTCTATAGGAAACAATAACAACATTTGTTTGTCCAATTGCTCAGCTGAACAGCATATAATCTACAGGAATCTTTTTTTTTAAATATGGGAATTGGCTTTATTTGAAATCTTTACTCTCCATAGTTTCTCTGAATGACCATTAGACTAATAAAACTCTTACAATTGTTGTCTAAATTATGGTAAATTTTATAAGCTACTACCATAAAATAGACATTACAGAAGGTAATTTCATGTATTTACTTTACTTTGCATATCACTTGGAGGTCACGCTAGTTCTCTCAACATTGGCTTATGCACAAAAAATTATTGTGGTAGTGGCACTCATAACTAGTCATTTGATTTTTGTCGAGAATGAAATAGAAAGAACGGAAATATTAACAATAATAATGAAAATATTTTAATTTTATTGTTGTTGTGAATATGAAAATTAAAAAAAAAACTCATTCTTTAATTTTGAAAAAGAACAAGCATCTACTGAACATTCAAAGTAAATTGTTTTATGTTGCTTCGTTTTATACTAAACAATGCATAGACACTTGTATTGAGCAGGTGAAACTCGCTATTAAACATTTCCAAACTAAAATTGAGATTGAATTTGTGTCGAAACTGTTCTTATTGGGCTCATGAGTTGTCCCTTTACACTAGGATAGATTAATCTTGTGACAAGAGGTGGGGTTAACCCGGCGTCAGCACAGTCAAAATATGCATCAACGACAGTAGGGTTGGGTCGAGAGGACCCGTATAAGAAAACGCCATAATTACAAAAGTTAAAATAAATTTGGTTTGTGGTTGTTGTATCTGTATAAAACGATTATCGTTATAGGTTTTGAGTAGAAAAAAACACAACATGATACGAAATTATCTTTTTAATGTCATTTTCATAAAAGTGTCACAAAATATTAACAAAATGGACAACCTCTGTCTTAAAGTAATAAAATTTTAACAAAATAAACTTTTTTCTATAACATAAACTAATTTGTTACATGTTAATCAAATCTTTAGTAAACTAATAATATTATACTATTTGTATCAGTCTCATACGTCAGTCATAGTATCCTTATCATCTGCGCAATCTCGGCAGTACAACATTGCATGCTCACTGCAGATGTATTTGCATATACAGCTCCGAAAAGTATTAGTTTTCTATCTTTTTTGGCAGAACAGTCTTCTTACATAAAGTATCTTCACAGGTGGCTCCTCATCAGGTTCCTACTCCTAAAAACTCTCTTATTCTTTTGCGCATAAGTCTTGGCAACTGAATGACATCTTTACGATTGCGCAAATGCTCACGAACCAGTATAAGGCTTAAGTTTCTTTAGAAATTGGCGTTATGTAATATGTACGCATTTATTTCAGACATATTTGCCAAAAATAACAAAATAAACAATATAAAACAATAATAAAACATTTTTTTAAACGGCGCAAAATTACGACACGAATAGTATGGTTGGGTCATATTTACCTTTTTCGTGTTTGGCCGTGTCTATCACTCGCTGCGGCCGCAACACGACTGATTAGCGAATCCCACGTGGAGGGAGGACCATTAGCTCCAGCTACTGAGAAGTTTGGCAAAGTCGCACAAACATTTTAAGAAACACGCTCATTTGAAAACTGCTCGGGTCAAATAGACCCAACTGTGCGAACGCCGGGTTAATGATTAAAAAAATGTAGTCAATAGTTGAATAATATTATCAGATAATTTTAATGATTAAAAAAATCTGTTATTAATTTTATTCAAATACCTTATCTGAATATTTTTAACAAGTTGATTTAAATATTTATATATACATCATTATTTTTATTAATTCGATCTGTGATTTAAATTATTTATTAATATATTCTTAGTTGGTTACATTTATCTATACAAACTAATATTACTCTTGCGTTTAAAATAACAAGAATTTAATGAATATCAAGAGTCCAGCGGCTGATGAAGCACCAGAAAAATATTTTCTTAATAAGAAATTTCATTAACAAAAAAAATGGGAAGTGTCAACTCTTGGGCGCAGATAGAACTGGGAATTTTCAATTTCTATATTATTTAACTACATTCATGAGTTTCATTAAGTTCTCTTGAGATACAGATGAGGTTACTGTAAAACTTTTAATAATTTAAGACCTTGCTACATTTGTGTTCCATTTCTTAAGCAGTATGTGTTGCAGGAGACAGCAAACCAAGATAGTGCAACTGCATGGTGATAATTTTTGTTGTTGACTGAACTTTGACATGATATTAGATGATCACTTGATTTGTTTACGTCTGTCATGTCAGTAAAAATATTTTATTGTGAAAATTGTTATGTAAATTATTTTGAGCAATTCAAAGTATTCTAAGTTTCCAAAAATCGTGTTTTTGTGATATAAAGTTCCAACCACCTTCAATTACAAGTGTATGAAGCTATCTAATGTAATACCCCCAATTAAAAGCTCCAAAATTTATAAAATAAATAAGTTTTGACATCTCAAAGAGCTTACTGCAACTTCCTGTTTGTCATTAACTTGATTCTCATGAAATAATTTAATTATATTTCATTACTTCAACACAATAACATCTCTTACCCAGTGTTTTCACATCATCTACAGCCCTGAATCTGTAGTGATATGGCTGCTGTGGTTCCAGAATGTAGTGAGATGGCTCAGCACTCAGTAAGCGAGGCTCATGCATTATGCGAGGCACCGCTTCTATCCGCCTCTCAATTTCTCTCTTCAGACACTAGCATGTTAAAAATAACAAAAAGTTAATCATACATTCCTACTTTTTAACGGCGAAAGTTGTAGACAACAGAAGACTAATGTATTCCTCAGCCAAGATTGACAGCTGGCGGTTTAAAAATGTGCTTATTCTTTGAATAAACTTACTTTTTTCGCGTCAGCTCCAATGGGGACGTGCGGACCTCTACGCGATCTCAGAGCAAATCTCGTAATTTGCCTTTTAGCAAATATGAACAGGATAACAAACGTTAGAACGCCACCGCTTATAATGAATATGATGTTCAATATACTCGTGAAGTCCTGCATTGTCTTTTTTATGAAATTGTCGGTGAAAAACACTCAAGTAGTCATCATCAATTCATCAACAAACACATTTTTAGCACAGGTTTGACATTGACACTTGCTTGTGTCGGACAGTGACAGAAAATGACAGTATAGAGATGGAAAAAACGGCTTATTTCTTAAAAGCGTTTAAACGTTGTACTTTTTAAAATAAGCGCGCTTGAAAAAAAGCTTTTTCGTTTAAACGCTTATTGGCTTAAACGTTTAAAAGCATGCGTAAAAAGCGCGACGTTGTGTTGTGTTTTCGTTTAGGTATATCGTTTAAAAAAGCGTGAAAGTTTATTGTCGTTTTGTTTAAACGCTTATTGGCTTAAACGTTTAAAAGCATGCGTAAAAAGCGCAACGTTGTGTTGTGTTTTCGTTTAGGTATATCGTTTAAAAAAGCGTGAAAAGTTTATTGTCGTTTTTAATGTGTTTAAGTGTTTTATTGCGTTTTTTCTTCTTATTAATGAAATTTATATTAATTTTTTTTTTAAACCTAATGAATTGATTGGCATTAAAAACGAAAGATTTTCAATTGAATTTAGATTTTATAATAAACATTTTTATAATCAATTTTTTTAAGTCAATGAACTTTCCTTCTTAGTTTACAAGCTTAGGACTGTCTGGAGTTAATATACTCGTGATCCAGGCGTACTTAAAAGTTCATTGATTTTATATACATACTTTTAACTATTTTATATGCACATTAAACCAATACACGAAACGCATTAACACGTCAAGCAAGCATGCAAACACACCGTACAACACCCACGCGCTCTTACCCCGTCACAGTGACAAGCGTACTGCTTTTCGACTTCGTTTAATTAAACGCTTTTAACGAAAAAAGCGTTGGTTATCCGACCAAATTTTAAAAAAGTGCATTTTTTTACGTCGCATTATAATAATTCGCATTCTGTATTAACCGGCTCACGAAAGATGGCACGCCGACGCGGCGCTGTAGTCGCGCGTTCTATGTCTGTGATATTGTGAAATATTTAGTACCAAGGAATTCCGCGTACCCATTTTACGATACTGTAGTGGACTAGAAGGATCGAAGTATGTAGTTTCCTGGCAAAGACATAGATGGCGGGATTTGCACTTTTTAAGTAAAAAATATACTTGCACTTTTTTAAGTGAAAAGCTTACTCACACTTTTTAAGTGATAAGCTTATAAAGCTTATACTTAAAAGCGTGCTTACAAGCTTAATATTTTAAGCGCGCTTATTTAAGCGCTTTTCGTTTAAATGCCCACCGCTAAGTAACAGTAACGTTCTGTTTCACGCTGAAAGGCACTGATAAAAGCGCACTGTTATGGTACTGTACTGATAGACAAGTTTAGCCTCCCATCCCCATAATTCAGTTAAGACCGGTACTCGTCATTTCTATATATAACAATGTACTCCATGCTCGTCATCAACCTAAGTGTCATTGGTATGAACATGGGACTAGGGCCGCGCCCGCCACTATGTGCGAAGTGCGCGTTGCACACAAGCGGCAAGGCTATGACGGGTGGAGGTGCCAGCTGGATGAACAGCTACAAATATGACGACCTCCGTGGCCGAATGGTTTGTGCGCCGGGTTTCATGGTCCCGGGTTCGAAACCCGGTGGGAGCAGATGTATGTGTGATGAATATGAGCATTTGTACTCCAGCCATGGATGTTTATTATGTATTCCTTTATAAATATACTTATTAATGTACTGTATAATATGTATTCTATCCGTTACCCTGACATCCCTTAACACAAGCCTTACAGTGCTTACTTTGAGGCTGGGCTAATTGGTGTAAGTGTTGGAAATATTTATATTTATTTATTTATAAATTACAACAGAAACATTTTTTGTTTTACAACAGCATATCCCATCGGGTATGAAGACCATGATGGCGCTAGTGGTTAGCGCGTTCGGCCGCTCATCGGATGGATGACTAAAAATTTATTGTGTGCTTTGCAAGGCACACTAAGCCGTTGGCCCCGGCACGGCAGCATCAGCAGTCGTTAGTACCTACCCAGCCGCACTGGGCCCGCGTGATGGTTCATGGCCCAACATATGCTATATGATGATGATGCTAGATTGTTATTAGATGTTTGTGTGAATACGAACATTTGTACTCCAGTCATAGATGTTTAATAGGTACCTATTTTATTTCTACATAAATTTACCAATATAGGTATGTATCCAGTTTATGTATTCAATCCGTTACCCTTTATCCTAAAATGTTGTAGTTTTTGAAGGAATGCTAGGTTAAATATTAAGCTGCGTATACGCTAGACGAGCCGAGCACAAGCTGAGTCGAAATTCGTGTAGGGTGGTCCGGCTTACGAGCCTCAAACGAGCACGCTTCGAGCGTTTGGCTCGTGCTCGGACCGTTGTCGGTTTGTGCGCTCGTGGACGCGTTAATCGACACACGCTCGTTTCGCTAGCCGGAGCATCATGGAAACGTGGACAGAAGATGTTTCTTTGCAATTAATTGAATTTGTCTGTCTTTATATAAATTTGTAGAGCCCCATCGTCTTGGCCTTCTAGCTGTTTTACTAACTTTGGCTATAGATTACTATAAGCAACCGCTGTAGTAGCGGCGGTTACTGCAAACAACTCGTTCATCCCTGCCGTGAGCCACGACCCACGAGCACACCGGAAACCTATGTTCGAGGAGAGTGATTGATGTAGGCTCGCTGCACGTCCACACTTGATGACACTGCGAGCGAGCGGCTCGGCTTGCGCTCCGCTCGTACTCGGCTCGTCTAGCTTATACGCAGCTTTAGGTATTTTATGTTAAGTTAATAAGAGAGAAAAAAAACAGTTGAAGACGGTATATTTTGAATTGAGTAAGTGTCAAATAAAAACAAACATTAATCAGTATCTGTTATCTATTAGACAAGTCCGTCCGTCCGTCCGTGGTGCTGTTTCAGCGGCCAAACCGTAAGAGATAGATATAGAGAATGTTTAAGTTATAAGTTAAGAATAGTCTGATAAGACTACAAACCGGATGTGAGTGACGTAGCACTTCCGGTTTTCGAGAAATCACGTGATTTCTATTTCAAACGAAACCACACAAAATCTCCGAAGTTCTCAATTAATTAAATACATTTTTTTTTTGGTGAACATTTGGTTCACTGGTTTGCTAGTTAAAATAGAATACAATAGGTTTTATGATTAGCCAGTAACAATACAAAACAGAAGCTTACTTTGGGGCTAGGCTAATTGGTGTGACTGTTGGAAATATTAATTAGTGGCTCTTTAGCGTATTATTAACGCCCTTCAAGTCCTAAAAATAAAGCTTCATATTTAAAATAGAATGAAAAATTCGTCTCTTGTAAAATTAACCCATTGGCAGATAGAACAAACAAACACTGGAGGAACGAAATATTATCGTACGTAGTTAAGTAGGTACCTATTATTCTTTAACAAATCTGACGAATCGTACCAATTCCGCTGTGTTGTCATAATAGAATGCGCGGTCAGGAACACAGTTCTATGGAAGTATTCACCTATCCGGTGGCTTTGACCATCCCACTTTGAATTTAAATGAATTTCATTACCTACCTATCGTACCTATAATTTAATAGGCATACGTTAGCAAGCATAATATTCTTCATAATTTTAAAAAAGTATGAGCCTCCGTCTTTCTGTGGAGACGTGATTACTAAGCTCCCAACTATTCCTAGTAATGTTTAAGCATTCATACGCGATAGCCCTTTACGTGTAGCGAACGTATGAACATAAATTCCTTGCTCATGATTCTTTCTATTCTGTGTTCTGTTGGGCGCGGCACGCATGACTTTGGTGTGAAACGCGTAACGCATATTGATGCCTTAAACCAATATGGCTGCCTCGCTATAACCAATAACAGTTCAATATGGTATCCAATACGTGCATAATATTATTATTGTTCATAAAATTCATAACGCTTGCGATTGCACCAACAATAGCTTCACAAAATGGACTACGTGATTCCGCTGTTTAAGTTTGTGGCTCCTTTAATGGTATACAGCTACACATTATTTTTAACGGCCAGCGATGCGCAAGAGTCATCGTGGAAAAATATATTAAGGTTTCTTATTCCAATGTTTTTGTAAACCACCTTAGATTCGCTTACGATAGGTAGGTAATAGGCCCCTGCCCATCCTCTTCCCCGTGGAGCCCTGTTACCCAAGCAAAAACTTTGACTGATCCAAATTCGTATAGGCAACGTCAAAATTTCAATGGAAACTTTAGCAGCGCTCCTACCGGACGTAAGAACAAACTACAACCTTTTTCCATAGAAACTTTGACATGGACGATAGGAGTTGTTTTTCGCTAGTTGTATGTGCTTGGGGTACTGGCAGACCCGTCTTTCCCAGTGGGCACTTTCGCCCCGCGATCGATAGGGGCCCACTTCAGATCAAATACTAAGTCCCTAGTTCCTGTTAGATCACCAAACGGGGTCATAGGGGTCCCATATCCTAATATGCCCATGGCCTCCAATAGGTCAAAGACGGCACTGGGTACTGGAATCATACTCATTGCAAAAACACCAGAATCTAATTCAAGTGGGAAACCCTAATATCTCGAGACCCAATTTCATCTAGAGAAGAAATGCTTACAAAAACTCGAGGTGAGGATTCGAATCTAGGTCTTTTGGACCAACAGACGGGATCGCATGATTTGCTTTTTGGAAGGTCGGTATTGTCGGTAACGAATGACTAAATGGCTTTTGCCGCCTCAGCCTGCCGCTCAGGGCAGGGCCTAATTTACCCACAGGCTAATAAGATTTGAGGCTAGGGCTCAACGACCAAGGGGGCGGCCGGTGGGCGCGGCGCTGAGCTGAGGCGTCGACGAAGGGCGTTGCCAAGTAGGGGCCAGACGGACATTATAAAAAAAACCAGCCAGATATAAAGCAACCAAAGTCCTTAGTCCACTCACTTGACTTGCTTGCCTGAAACAAATATTTCTGCGTCCTGCGTGTCGAACAAAACTCGAATGAGTTCACCAGGCAATTACAATCCCAACTGAGCATCATGTACCCATAATAGGGATGATGACAGGGTAAACGAATTTCTGTCTGGAAGTCACC